CTTGGTTGCCAGTAAAGAAATGTCAAAATTGCGCTCTCACGGTTGAAATTAGTAAAAATTGTTAGTGCCAGTTTTTATATCCCAGAATATCAGATAGAAGCTAGTTTCTCGACTTTTTTCAATAGCCATATTAGCTAACGAACGAGGCGGCTAAAATCCAATAGCTCCCACCGCACTGGGGTCTTTATAATGGAAAAGCCTGGATTTTTATCCGGCCAAGGACTATCGCTCGCCGAAAACCAATTCGGTCAGTATTTTGCAGTTACAACAACAACGGAAAAATTTGCAACAAGTAAAAAACATTGCAAATAAAAAACTGAAATCTCAAGATAATCAGACAACAAATTTTTTTTTATTTTACTTTTACAATCTAATAAAAGGGAAACCTTTTTTAAGTCTGTTCGATCAGTGCAAATGCTTATATTTAAAAAATGTTTATGTTTTTGTTTTCTTTCGAACAGGCCTATAATTCTATAGCAGTTTTTATAAATTTAAAAATAATAAATTTTCTGGAGACATGCGTTTTTACAAAAAATTATATATTATAAGCCTTTTTTGCGTCAATGTATGTACATCAGCTTATTAAAATTAACGCAGAATAATTTCGCTGTACGAAAAAATACCAAAAGTCGTAGTTTCAATTGAAACGCGCAATGTTGGAAAAATAATATTCTTCAATTTAAGTATACCAGCTGCGAGTGGCGCTTAATTTGGAAATCGAAAATTTTAATTGCAGTGAAATGCTTTCTTGGGGATCGTACTTGGATACCTTTGATATTTGTTTTTTTTTTTTTGTTTTTTTTTGATATTATCGTATATATAACGTATGTCGTAAGCGGACGCGGATCTCTTGATAATAGATAAGGAAAGAAATTTATGAAAAAACTGTAGAAAAAACAATAAATAGAATTTCATAAGCGAACGTAAATCTTTTATTCACGAAAAACGAACAAAAATAGAGTGACTAAACCGAGGAGCCAAAAATTAAGCTTTTTGCACCTCCCACAATCATTGAAAGAGCATGCAATACAAAAATTAATAATCCGGAACCCCTTAAAATTTGATCTTCAGAGTTCTTAATTTCTGTAAAAAGAAATAGTATTTTCTAATGTGAGTTTTTAAATTATATTCTCTAAAAACCATTTCATTAATTTAAAAACTTTTTTGAACTTAAAATATGGTTTTATGTATGTATTTATATAGGTACCTGCAGCATTTTCTAACTTTTTTGAAGCAGTTGTGTTTCTTTAGGGCAAATAATCTACCTTAAACTAGAATCCTCACTGGAACTCATAAAATGCAAATTAGACTTTTTTCCATGTATAAATGTGTAAACTTTCTTCCGAATTTTTTGTTTGACAGCATTTAAAACTGGCATAGTAAAAACCTTAAATTGTGGCGCTAGTATATAAGAATACCTAAAATGGGTCAGAGATAGTTGAGAAAAAGTTATACAAAATATTATCATCTGGCAGTTGATTCCCGCTTTTATATTAAGAATGAATAACATAAATTCGTTGTTCACAAAGAATTTGGTTTCTTTTTCAATACATATCTGTATGGAAGCGTTGAAAAAGATTTGTGCTCATTAAAGTGCAATTATTTATATGTCGAAGTTATTTAAATGAACAGAATTTAAATTAATATTTTGAAAATATTTTTATTTTTTTATTTTTTCTGTGCATGTTGTATGTAAATATCATTTAATTTAATTTAGCGCACTATTTATAATATATATACATATATGTATATTGATTTTTATTTTCTATGTAATCTTTTGCAGGCGAATAGTCGATATTAACGGCGACAATCACATACAAAAAAAACAAATGAACGCTACGTCGGCGTTAATATCGACGGACGGATAGATGAGATGAGCACGAGTAAGCTTTAGCCATTCATCCATCCGTTGTGAATTCTTTTAGAGCCATGACTTTTTCAACACTTGGCTATATATTTCGTTAATTTTCTAAAATTATTTAATGAGAAAACAGGCTTACACATTTGCGGAGCTTCTGTTTTTTCTTCTTATTTTTTTAATTTACATTTACTAGAATTTGCTGTTTACTATTTGCTAACACTTTTGTTGGATTACTGCCTATTAACGTAATATATTTGAAAATGAGCTTCATTTTAATACGCTTGTTTAACTATTTTTTACTTTTGAGTAAATCACTTCATTTTGATTTCTTAATTCTTTACGCGCGCTACGTACTGTTATATATGTAATGCTATGTTGATGTCTACACAAATACTAATTTTTGTTATTTCTAAATAGTATTACCCATAAAACAGCCTTCTCTTACTCACTAATAACGGATCATACATACATACATAAAAAATCATATAAATCACCATGTAAAATTACGTTAAATCATGTAAAGTAAACAATTTTTTTCACAAATATTTCTAATGTATCCATCAGAAAATTTATGTATGCATGTACTCAAGTGAACATTTCAACTTTCTCTAATGTGTGTATGTATGTATGCAGTAACCGTTGTATGTATGTAGGTCTACAATGTTGTTCTGTAAGTCAATGGGGCTTAAGTACACAAAAAAAAAGAAATACTATTTTGAGGTTTTTCGTATGGATTTTAGAAAATTTTAATATATTTAGTTATATGTATGTATTATATATATGTATACTTGTAACTACTAATGGATACATCTTTAATCGTAGTGGTATCGTATATGTATTTCTGAATTTATGTACACACTGCTTTCTTTACAACACTTATGCTTATTACTTTTTAATAGTAAATCAGTCAATTCATTATTAAGCTATATGTATTTATGTGTGTATGATAAATCGTAATTAAACATCAGAAACTGTGAAATATAGTATAGAAACATTTTTTTTTTAACTTTCTTGAATATACTTTGTAATTAAACTATCTCTTCCTATCTTAATTTATATTTTACCAGTGAATATAAAAATTATTACTGCTTTATTACTAATTAATGTTATTGTATTGTATTGTTTCTTCTAACGACTTTCTTTTTTGATAAATTTATGGTAAGCAAACTGTTTCAATGATATATGTACATATATACGTGTACATACATACACACATACATAAAATGTTATTAAATTTTTAGAAAAATTACATATAGAGAGAGGTATAATAAAAAGCTTCCCTTGTAAAATCGGCGTTATTATTGACGTTTGAAAAAGGAAGAGTGAAAAAATTTTAAAAAACTATTTGCAAACGAATAACTTCATCCATTCTTCATTTGTTGTTTTATTTTTTCGCAACCAAAAATAAATTAATATATTTCAACAATGGGCAACTTTTCATAACCTCATTTTTGACTGTTAATTATCAGATACTTTTTTTCAAACAAAATATTGGCATTAGATTTTTATTTAATTTGTTGTTTTTCGATATTGCTTTGTGTTAGAGCTTACCTAAAATGTTCATAAACTTCCAAAAGTAAACGATTGAAGGTCTTCATTCTACATATTTTTAGCACTGTTGCACTTATAACGTAAGTCGAATATGTGCTCTAAGATTTCGTTTTATCTTCTGTGTTTTATTTTCGTTTTTGCTATCATACTGTAGACTAAAAAGTAAGTAAATAATAAAACCATGTGTAAAATTATGAATGAATGCAAAATGGAAAAATTGTAGCAAAAGTTGCACGCTCAATTTACCTTTAATTGAAAAACGTTTTATCTCTGCATAGAGGTTCGAATTGTTCGTGTACCCCAATAAAATAAAAAGGCTTCACTTTTTCATATGAGAAATAAATCTAAATCGTGTACTATGTGCAATATTAACCAAACATTTTAAATAAATGTTCCATTTATTCATAAAAAAAAATATAATCGCTGAGGCGATGTTCGGCTGGGCATATTTTGAGATTTGTGATGAGCATCATGATGCTTTTTACTTAAAAGGAGAGTTGAATGGGTTTCTGTAAGAAGCTATTTAAACGTCATAAATACACTCGGACGAACTGACTTTTAATACTGAGAGATAACAACTTTTAGGGAAACCTTTTTTATAGAAAAGGCTGGGCAAAAAATGAACCAACTACGGCCGATTGGAAGAAAGCATTTGGTTATAGAGACAAACAAAAAAATATTTTTTTAAAGTTAAATAGGTATTAAAGCAAGCACCAAATCAATAGAATTTCCTCCTGAGTGTTGCATTGAATGCGTTCTCTCATTTATACATTGCTAGAAGTTTAACCTAAAAAGTAAGACAAGATTGTTGGTCATCTTTTGGATTTTGGCAAGAAACAAATTACAAAAACTCTCGCAGAGAAAAAAAAACCCTTGGTATACGATTAGAAATAGAAAACAGAGTCAGTTATTTGGTAAATATTTTCCAGCCCAACCCCTTGCGTTTTCAGCTTCATTTACGGCTTTTATTAACAGTGTTTACACTACGGAAGTTCTACACATTTATTGCTTCTTGGAAACCGTAGGACTAATTTATAAAAGTAATAATAATTTCTTTCTCAAAAAGTTGGTTTGTTACGAGAAGGAAGCTCATTTACCCAGTAAATCAATAATCTTTGTAGCCTATGCTCAACTCATTGCAATTTTCAATGGGTAGTTTGTTTGTGGTAAGTTTAGTTTGTTTATTTTCTTTTTCAGTGTGTTTACGACCTGTATTTAAAAGTCAAAAACGTACTCAGAAATATTGTTTTTGGAGAAATTCACCTCATTTTATTTTTTTTGATATCCGACAACATTGCTAACTGAATTTCAAATTATAACAACATTGCAGCAAAATATAACATACCAAACATATGCCCCAAACTTCATATATGTATGTACGTATGCGCATACATATATGATTCCCGCCTCATTTTCATCGCAACATTTTAACGTGCGTCAATAGTAGCAGTATTTCATTTAATTACGATATTGGATAATAAGTATGTATGCATGTATTTAAATATTATATATGTATGTAAATATATCAGTATATGTATATATTTATACATTCAGTTAAAATTTAAACTTTAAAATTTATAGTAAATCATAATCATTAAAGAAATTGTTTTACAATTAACAGTCAGTGTATTGTGGGCTTTTGTTTTTAATCCTCTTTTACTTTACGTTACATTTACTTTTTATCTTTGCATCAAGTGGTTGCTTGTTTTGCTCTTTGTTTTTAAGATTACTTTTACGTTAAAATTTTATACTAGCGTATATTAAATTTAGACTTGCTTTATTTGTAATTGTAATTTAGCATTCGTTCTATCAAATATGTAATCTATTTTGTTTTGTAATATTAGTTATCATTATATGTTACGATTAAATTTACATAAATTTAAATGTATGTGGTAGATAATAAATTGTATTTTTACTTTCCTTACTTTTTTGTATTCTCCATTTAAATGTATTCTTTTTTTTTTTTTAGTTGTGTATGCACTTTAAGGTGTGAGTTTACAGTAATGTATTATTATATTTTTTAAATTAAATTTAATAATTACGTCAGGTTCTCTTTTTATAATATTCTATTAGCGTTTATTTATTTTATTTTTCAGGCTCGCATCAGTGATATTTGCGAACACTAGCTACCACCATATCTGTTGCCGTTAAAAGTAATAGAATCGATAAATGGTTTAATCCTCTTAATATATGTTTGTAAATCGACGGTAAGCATATTAAATGTTTTCTGAAGTTGATGACAAAAAATAACAAGAAATATAGAAAAGGCGATTTCGATTCTCATTAGGCACGGCAATTGACTAAAAAAAAAAATTAAAACCGTATCGAGGAGGTTGTTTTCATAAGAAACTATGACGCCTAACAATTAATTATTTTACTTTAAGTAATTGATCTTTTTAGTTTTATACTGAAATGAAAATGCAGTTTATTTTAAACAATTCGTACTTGTTGAAGTACAATTACACTTCCACAAAAACAATTTTTACATTTTTTCTAGTGAGTTCACTACTATTTTTATTAGTTTGGATTACTTCGCGGACACCGTCTTTAATGTGTATATTGTGTAATTATCGTAGTAATAGTTATAAACTATATAAAGATTGCATCATATATTTGACATATATATTTTTTCTAAATTAAAACATCCCTTTATTTACTCTTATTAACTTCAAATGTAATTTTTTGTTCTTTTTTCCTTTCTTAGTCGACTTATTTCATTAAATTTTGATAAATTATTGTATGTAAACTATATTTGTAGGTAAATACATATACACATGTATATATAAATGTATTTATGTATATTGGCGCATTAATTCACTATTACTACACAAAATTCTTGTTGTCTCTTTATTCATCGTAATAAAGTGAATTTTTGTTTGTTGTTTATACTTCGTTTACACCTATTCAATTTGTCCTCTTTTACCTACTTCAAAATTGATATAGCAATATATAGATATATGTTTGTTTATTATTTAAATGTTATTGTAATTTTCTACTTTTATTATAATTTTAGTTTTAACTAAAGATCAATCCATAAATGTAATTATAAATATGTACGTTGGAGGGTATATATAATTATTATACCCAAATTCCAATTTTGCATTAGTTTAATGAAATTTTACAATACTATTTTCTTGAGATTATGAAAATTTACAAGAATGAAAATCAACTGGAACTGCCAGCTAGGTTAGACTGTAGTGTCTTAAATGCGGCAAAAGCGCAAATGTGCAACGAATTCACAGTTTAATAACAAACCGCCTTATATAGGGAACTAAAAGTAAATATTACTGGGGAGTGAGATAAAACAACTCCTTAAACACTAATAGCTTATTTAAATGATTAGGTACAACTTATAAAACGACGTTAAGTATAAAAGTATTCCCGAAAAATATGTATCTAAATTATTGTATTGTGCCTAAAAGCGAGTTATCTTTAAATTGGGCATTCATTCATTAATTCATGCAAAAATAAATAACTCATAATTAATTCAAAATATCAATCGCTACAACATATACCCATTTTTCTACAGTCATAAATCCATAGTATTAGCTATACCAGTTGATCTATTTCAATAAATTTATTCTAGCTTTATGAACTTCAATTGTTTTCAAGTGATCAATTTATACTTTTTGCTTGTAATTTTACGCTACGATTTATTTAGTCCGTGTCAGTGGTAATGGATGGTAGCAGTGTTTATGTATGTTTGTTATGTGCCCAATGATTTTGCTTTATTATTATTGTTATTTTCCTTCACATATAACTTGCTTTCTTTGTCCTTTTTCCTCAATATAAGTAATTTATGTATATAAACTTTATATGTAATGTTTTGTTTATGTAGTATATGTATGTTTATATATATATATATAAATATATATAGTTAGTAATTAATTTCAACAACTGAACTGAATGAATAGACGCTAAGCTTATATTTAATCTTGCTTCAACACACAAGACCGTAACGGCAACTGTCACTGCTTAGGCAATGGTGCTGAAATCGGGCGAGTGTTGAGTGCTTAGACTATGCGCTTTAAACTGCCTGTGAGGCAGCGTATGGTGGTTGTGTTGCACTATCATTACCATACGCAGAACGCGGTCCAGCGCCATAGTTCGAAGCACCGCCCTCTTGTTTACCATAGTTACTATAGTCGTAATCATAACCAGAGCCATAACCGCCATAGTCGTACTCAGAGCCCGATTTGGATGCTGAATTTCCGGGTCCAGTTCTGGGCATACCACCCACAGGACCAGTAGTTGACGGCCCACCAGCTCCCCAAGTTTGAGCACGTGAATACATATCAGTAGCGCTACCAGCAGCAGCACCTGGGGCTCCTGTTGGACCAGCGGAGTTTGGTGGTATATTCCAAGAGTTCCAGCTGCCACCACCGGAAGGTCCGGATGGTCCTCCCGTTGAAGTTGAATTGTACATGTCATAACCACCATAGCCTTGCGTTTGCTGGGGGCCAGCTGCATAGTTAGACCATTGTGGTGGTGGTCCTTGGGGTCCTGGTGGTGCACCCCAACCTTGATAAGATCCAGGTCCGCTATTACCATAACCATAGCCTTGTTGTTGTGGTGAAGTGCCCCAACCTTGATAGCCGGGCATCATATTTGGTGCGCCAAGAGGCATGTTAAGTGGAGGACCACCCATTTGGCCATTTTGGCCTTGCATCATATTCATAGGTGCATGGTGAGGACCCCAGTGGTTGCATTCATTACCAAGTTTTCCATACCCTCCACTAACATTACTGTTACTAGCGTTTTGGCCGCCGGATCCGTCACGAGGTTCTGCTTTCTTAATTTCTACCTAAAAATTCATAGATAATGTAAATTCGACAGTACATTAGTGTTATGCACAAAATTACTAAGTGTTAAATAAACTTGTGCATTTTGACTACATAAAATGTATAATAAATCCTATATTCAAAATTTTATTTTTTAGATATTCGTTAAAAAAAAGCAATATATTTATGCAATATACTTACTGAAAAAAAAATTTTTAAATAGTACTAAAACCAGATCTTTTCAAGTAAACTTTTGGTTGGTAACTAAAGGTTGGCTATAACCCTCAATTGTGGCAACGTATAATTTGAATTAAAATAAAAATATATTTCTTAATTTTCTTTATGTAATGTTAGTTATATTATTAGAAACACATTTTCATTAAATATTCAAGATTAATGTATACTTGTGTCTCTCTAAGCAGTCCTAGGCAGAAAATCATATTTTGATGTTTGCTAAAATTTTCCGAATATATTATGTAGGCTAAAATAAAGAAAATATATCTCAATCTACCGAAATTTAATCTTTACTCTCATTCACAGCTATGTGGTTTTTCGGACGACATACTTTACGAAATATAAACATAAAAATGAATTACCATGAAATCTCTTTTCAACGGAAGATTTTTTCTAAATATTACTAAAACTATATATTGGAACATATTTTGGCCAATGTACTTACAAATTACATATATATATACTCTTATATATTATTAAAATATTGATTTCAGTGTTTTACCTGTTTTCCGTTAAGATTTATGTAGCGCTCATTGGTAACATGCTCTACGGATGATTCCTCCTCAAATGACAGAAATCCAAAACCACGAGATTTTTTCTTCTCTTGATCATACATAATGACCACTTCAGTTACTTTGCCGTAGCGTCCAAAAAACGTACGCAAATCCGTCTCAGTAACATTGGACGGTAAGCCACCTAGGAAAACTTTATATCCTCCTCCTTTTTTAGGCTTTTGGAGCGTACGAGGATTGCAAGGCTTTGGATCGATAGTGCGTCCATCAAGTGTGTGTGGACCACTCTGTAAAACATGGTTTACATTTGCAGGATCTGCAAACGTAACAAAACCAAAGCCACGCGAACGCCCGCTCTCGTTGTTCTTCATTACCACGCAGTCAATAATCTCACCAAAGCGGCAGAAATAACGCGAAAGATTCTCCTGGGTCGTTTCCCATGACAAACCTCCTACAAAGAGTTTTCCCCTCTCGTCTTCCTCCATAATCTTCTGGGGACTCTTTTGATAAAGCAAAACAAAAAACGATTACAATAAATTAATGAAAACAAATTAAATTTAAGTCTTACAGTTGCAGTTGTTGAAATCGTTTTTAGGCTGTTACTACTTCTTTTGCTCCTACAAAGTCTTCGCTACCTGCGTCAGTGTTTCCTTTAATCTGTTTTAAAATCCTTATGTTGCGTAAGGTTTGTCTAGTTGTTATTTGTTTATCGTAAATTTTATTTAAGCAAAGTATAGCTAGCTTAAGTGATGAAACTCGCACCGACTTCTTAAGGGGCTTGTGTATGCAATATCCACACTTTGCGGGTTTTTAGTTTAAATAACTAAAAGCCACGACGTTAATTCGTAACTTTCTAAACGAAAAAAAATAAAAATAAATAAATTAAGCCACAATTTTTATTTTTATTTTTAGCACATGTTTAGGCATTCACTACATTATTATGTTAGTTAAACATTGAAGTATAAATTACGAGTACATTCAGACTAAGAGCAAACAAAAAAATAAACAATTACTTGTATTTTAAATACTACGATCTAAAATCACAGCGTGGCGTATCTATGGATAGCTTGTTTTAAAATGAATACAAATATTTCACTTCATCTTTAGAGATAAGAAAACATCATAAACTCAAAGCAATAAACCAGGTACAAAGGAATTTTAATTTGGCAACATCAGGTAGACGGAATACGGAAGACAGCCGTACCTGGTTTTTAGATATTCACCTAAACTTTAGTTATTCACCATTAGCGGCATTTCTATCCAAAAACAAAATGGAAGTCTCAGGAATGCTCACCATGCAAATGTAAGTAAAAAGTTGAAATAGTGATGGCATTGTTAAACAATACTACAGTTCTAAATATTTTTCAGCAGAGTATTCTTTTAAATAATACTTTTATTTCAGTCACATTTACGATGTATAACCTACAAATTCACCCATACAAGATTTGGCTTTGTCACAAAATGGGGCAAATACATACATACATATGTCAATGTTCACACACATAAATTAACCTGACACAAACATTAACACATATACATAATATTCGCCACAATGAATTGGATGCATGTCAATTCAATATAGACTGAAAGATTTACCGGTTCTTAAAAAGGTGAAGCTTTAATTTTTCTTTGCAAACATAAGAGGCTTATTATTTTGATTAAATCTGTACGCAAGAGAATATAGTATATTATTTTTTTAAAGACGCAATGAATAGCTGAAAGTCCATATCTTCAAATGTACATACATGAGTATATCCATTCATACACACATGTGTAAATGGCCGACTCGGAATCGCGAGCTATGCCGTGTATACATATTTGTAAGTGGCGATGTTTAATTCGTGTGGTTATACATAGTATTTTGTATCTATAAAATAAAACGAGGAATTTCTGACTTTTCGCACAAAACGCGAATGCACAAAGTCGATTTCAAAAAATTTAATATTAATCTCAAGAATCTTACGAACTCATAGTTACATGTAATACTATGATCAGTTCAGTTACCGTATCCAATTTCAACGAAATGTGGTTAATGGATCCTTAGAGCATTAAATAAAAAATCCTTAGAGGTCGCCAGCCTACCGACTTGCTTCTACTTTACACAAAATTCCGACACCCGCAAGCGTTATATAAAGTCTTTAAATCATAATTATTCTATCCTCACCGTTTCCGCCAAGTGTTCGTCTGCGAGAATTTCAATTTATTCGCACTGCAAAATCACTAAATTTAAGTTTTTTCCTTAAAAAACTAGCTTATAATTAATTGTATGATTTGATGCATACGATTATAACCTAACTTAAAAAAATGATTTCGACAAACTGAAACGCTGCATGCAGGAGGTGAGTTTTCCCTGTACTGAACTGTGGTGAAACTGTCTACGTCGCAGAGTACAATGACTGCTTGTTCAGTATTAACTACTGTATATCCTTCTCTTTTTTTCTTATGCGTTATGTAGACGGGCAGTATTCTGCCACGTTTTATTATTGAAAAATTTTCCCTCCACAAACCATTTTTACGTTCCAGCATGAGTTTCAAGCATTAACCCTTATATAGATCTAACATTTTTGTTATCACTTAAATGTTACATTTGAAAAAGTGGGACTTACAGGCATGTTCTCACTGTTACCGGTATAGTAAATTCTTTTACTTTTTTTACACCCGAAATTGAATTTGGTATTCTAGCGTACATTGTTTGTAAAAGCTTTGAGTTTTATATATTTGTTTATTAGTCATAAATAATTGATCCTAATTATGGAAAAAAGGCCAGGACGACAAAAAAAGCTGATCTTTCAAATTAAAGTGTCTCTCGCAAACTTCTTAACACACAGCATTCTGCACTTTTTTCTTCATCTTCATTGAATTTTAGGCGTAAAATATTCCTAAACATTTTGGTTTTTATTTTTTATTAAAAAAGAACACAAAATCAGAAAGCAGATTGTTTGTTAACTCCTATTTCGCGGATAACAAAATTTACAGTATCACAGTGAACTCAGAATATAAAATAGTAACAAAATTTACTGAATGGTAAATATTAATACCAAAGTAAATTTTATTAGCGTGAATAAATAAAATTGGATGTTTGTTGGAAATACGTGGTTTAAGACCGGGAGTTGTGAGCTGCTTGAACCATATGCAAAAGAATCGTGTTTGGTCCCTTCCAGGTGAATGGCACATCGCCCCAACCGCTTTCAAGATCGCATAAAACTCTTGTCTGACCCAGAGCTGTGAGTTAGTGACGGATGCCCATAGTATACTGAATTTATGCAAAGCACACTTCTCCAGACTGCTAAATGGCAGTGAAAATCATACACCTGGAGATGGTGAGCCCGAAACTCCAATTGATGACCATGGAAAAGTTGTTCCGTTACCCGACTATGAGGAAGTCCGAATAGCAATCACCCGCTTAAAAAACAACCAAGCTGCAGGATACCCTGGATTATCGGCCGATGTATTCAAATACGGCGGTGAAGAACTGATCAGGTGCATGCCCACTGTCAGCAAACTGATTGGACATTATAAGTTTGGCTTCAGGCCTGGTCAGGTCAACCATTGACCAGATATTCAGCATGTGCTAAATCTTAGAAAATACCGGATAAAAAACGATCGCCACACACCACCCTTTCATGATATTGACATTATTCGTCTCAACAACCGCACGGTGAGTTCTATTTTTTCCAGACTTGCTAAAAAAGCGAAACGAATGGGTCTGGTAATGATCAAAGGCAAGACGAAATATCTCCTGCCATCAAGCAAGCAGTCATCGAATTCGCGACTCGGCTCCAACGTCACTGTTGACAGTCATAACTTCGAGGCCGTAGAGAATTTCGTCTAGCTAGAGACCAGCATCAATATCAAAAATAATGTCAGCCTTGACGTTAGGTGCTACTTTGGACGATTTATGGTGCATTAGCAACGAGGAATATTTCCAACTGTCGCTAAACAGCAAAAAGGCTAGATGAACTTCGCGCTAATATTGATTTGGCTATAATCGCGTAAGCTGTGCCATAAAAAGCTGTGCGAATAAAAAATTACATCGACATAATTTTAATTTAGTTATTACCATATTCCCGATCATTTGAACCAACATATGTCAGGAATGCATGACGACATATTCCGTCAGCTCGTAGAACGATTTTCCTAGAACTTTCTTAAGGCCGAAATGACAAGCGTGATGTTCACATTTGTATACGTGTTCGTCATTCTTCCTTCGTTTCCTTGTGCATTTTTGTCATTCTTGTCGGACAAATAGAAGACATATGAGCGACAGCGTTGATACCAAAAGAGAACAATATGGACGTAAAAAGACAGCAGCAGTGCCGTACAAGCCGAACACATATGAGCGACAGCATTGATGCCGAAATAAATCAGCTTTGACAAAAATTTTCCCTACATATGTATATACTATGTACATACAAACAAACATTATTAAGGTTCAGTCTTTATTCCAATATTTTACATAGATCATTTACATGGTTTATATAGCATTCAAAAAAATAATAATGCAACAATAAATTCATTTTCAAAAATCTGCAAAATATTGTAAGCAAAACCGTATATGCAGTCTTTAATAGTGTCGTGTCTTGGTGATTCAGCTCCACGAACGCCTTCGTCATAATCGCATCTCCTTTGAAGTACATATAAAGACATCTAAGTAAAATTAAAGAATAATTTTCGAATCATAATGTTATTTATATCATAATGCAGTTGTACCTTGCAAAGTTTTCTTGAATATTTTTGAGATGTGCTGCTGCTGCAAGATGTGAAGCGTCCATTCTACTCAACCTGCGCCGTTAACAGAATTTTCCGTACAATATTGAGTACCCTTAAATAAAAACAATATTAATTAATCGACAAAATATTAATACCACAGCTCGCACATGATCCTCATCATATATTTTTCACTTCTATCTGCTGCGGAGAAAACGAAAAAATGGCGTTCTACTCGAAAATAAGAACAAATAAAATTGGATAATACGTTCAACTACATGCTTCTTCAACAACAAAATGTGCGTATGTGTTAGTGCTGTCCGAAATCATGTGAGTGTATTAGTGAACCCATCAGCCCGTTCTTGCGGGGTAGGAAAACATTCTATTCGATTCAAACAAATGTCAAATATATCGCAAGCCTGTTGAAACCCTCAACACTCGATGATGATGATATAAATATACATAAATACAGAAACATTTACCATACATATGTATTTTTCTTAGAAATAAAACATTTAAAGGATCATTCATGCCCCCACGCTATACTTACATATATAAAGACGAGAATGATGAGGGACTTATAAAGTTTGGTCTTTCTTCATCTAGAGAGGACTATACTTTCCGAAAGTAATACCTGTTGACAATGATGATTAGCATTGTTATTGATATTAATGCTCCTTTCAATACAGACGAAATTATGTACGATTTCAAAGTTGGGATATCGGGCTCATCATCCCCTATGAAAGCTTCATCTTTCATTGTATCAGTGGTTACGTTCGTTCTGTGAATCTTTGGGGTCCTTCATTTTAACCTGAAAGTCTTTCAGACAAGTCGATACCTCTATTTTCCATAGCTTCACTAATTTACTTTCTTTCAATGGTTGACAGGTTCCTATTCTCCGGCTCCCGCTTCATCTATTGAATATTCACATCCCAAACCTTCACCATTTTTAATTATTACCCTTCGTGATATACAGTATTTAACATAATTTCTCCAATGCTTTCCGGAAAAAATATTAGGGATCTGCACTTCGAGTCTCGCATTTTCCTAAATACGGAAAGCAATTTACCACATACAATATTTCGTCTCTACATCAGATGCTAACCAAAACTTTATCCCAACTTTATGGAATTTGTTTGGTATATAATGAGTAAACCTGCATCTGGTTTTCAATGGAAGAAATTGCTCATCCACGATGTGAAGTAATTTTTTGCAAAAAATGTCCAATTTTTCCACATACTGGACAAGCTTTTTAACACTTAACAAATTCGTATAAGATTCGAAATACGGTTATGAGTCGATAATAGGATCTACCGTCCGTCTTGCATTCTCTATTTACTCGTTTCGACATTTTCCTGGGCTGACGATCCCTATAAAAATGTAAAAAAAAAATAAGCCACTTTCTCCGTAAGTAGCTTATTCACTGAAGTATATTTCTGAATATTTCCATATACACTTAAATGTTTCCTACCTGCGTCACTGTGGTAAAGATTAATGATTTCGCTTGGAAATCGTTTGTACTAAGATTTGTTTATTTGTATTGAACGAAGCTCAAGACAAGACTATTCTGCCTCGTGCATTTACGAAGCAGTCGCTCGTAACAATACCGTTATCGGCTCAATGCTGATAATGTAACGGACAAAACGACGCTTGGGGGCGCTATGTGTGCTGCAAGAAGGCTTCCGATAAATTGAGCCAGCACAGGTCTGGGATGCATGAACAAAACGAATTATCCGTTTAGCTGCATTCTCTTTCAATTTGTATGTATGTACTCAGAAAAATCAAAATAAAATCGTGTGAGTGCATTGGAAAATCCTTCCGTTCTTGCATGGTATGCATTTTCTCCGGCACTGGTATAACAAAAAATATATATTTTTCTAATATATATATATATATGTGTAGTAACAATAAGTCACGTTTTCACAATGTCCGGTTAACTTAACCTTTAACCGGAGGATTAGCTCACCGTCAGATAGATTGATGTGACATTTTCGTTTTCACCAAGTTCTGGTTATCTAACTTCTGAATAGTTTGATTATTGGTAAATTAAAAAAAAATTGCGATGTGAATACAACAAAATTGCATTACAGCTGGCATTAGCTTACATTTTTCCACACGATATGGTTGAGTAATTCTTAAGATCTGCCGTTTTCTCTTTTATTTTTTTTTTTAATATTATTTTGTGGCTATGGAAAAATTGTAATTTAATAAAAGTTGTTTCATGTATTTTTATTTTGGAAAAAAGATTTTCATGATTTTTAATTACATATGTATGTATATGGTTTCCTTGCACCTCAGCTACGTCTTATACGGCATCAACAGATGTTTCTGCTGGTTCATGCGCTTGAACTTCTACCTAATCTAAATCAGAGTCATTCTAGATAGCAAAATTGTGCAAAACTCTACAGGTAACAATGATGTTCATAGTTGTGCTGAGCGAAACTTTCAATCCATAGTTCCTAAATATGCAATTTGGAGTACGGATTTCATGTTCATTGTAAAGGCGTTCGCGCGAAGATTGGGATGTAAAAATTTTACACATCATGTCGTTGCTGACAAGCCATAACCACTACCACCCAATTAAAAGAAGTCCCTAAATTCGTTTTGCTCAACCCGTGGTTTAGACAGCTATTATTAAAAATAATGCTATCATGTTCAGTACCAGGTTACCTGCATACAAAGTCAATTATTTCCATTTTACAAGTACCCCTTTCTGTTTCGAAAACATTTTCTTCCCCAGGTGATTGTATTCTGACATGAGTGCAATCTAAACACCCCAACATCTTCAAAAGCTTTGCTATTCGGGGAAATATGCACATTGTACTCTCCATTTTCCTTCTTTTTTCGGTATTCGGAATGATTGGTCAAGTTCCGCGGTAGCAATGGATACTGTTTACCATTCGACTGGCTGTCGCCACTTTTATTGGTCCCAACACCGGAACACAAGTTAAAACACTTTCCGATGCATAAAAACATAATGTTAAAAGCAATTTCCGCCGCTTCATTCCTGCAAAATCAAATAAATTATCAACAATATTTATTTACTCAAAGCTCATTATTTTCACAAACCTTTCAGTGCTGCTTCTAATTTTACTTTTTTTTTGCCCCAAAGGTATTTTGCACTTATTTTTGGAAAGACGAAATCTACGAATAAAAACTTATTCATCATATTTCTTAAAAAAAAAATTATTTGTGTACGAACGTGCTTTTTTCCCTATAAATGCGCATCTGAATCAATGCAGCCAGATAGGCAGTGCGTTCTATATTTTCCATAATAAAGTCTATTTAAAGCCAACACCGGAATAGTATTTTATTTATTATTTTACAATTTCCAGCTGTTAAATTATTTTCTGTTTAAGAGCCAATCGCTACTTAATGTTAGCGTTAAGTTAACCGCAACTGAATTGACAGACGCGCCTTGACCGGACATTGTGAAAACGAATTTTGTGCTACCTTCCGGTTAAGTTATGATTAAATGCTTAACCGGAGATGGTGAAAACAGCCCTAAATTATGAAAATCTACTTATACTGCTACAAAAGTCACAACGTCATTTCGGCAAACAAATGTTATATGCGTGTATGTAATAGGAATTATGAATTGAAATTGCATGACCGGTAAAAATGACTGGTCTGGAAAATCTGTTGTTAAATTTGGGCAAACACAACCTATTCGGTGTTGTTGGTAATTTCTTCTTTATACATATTTTTTCAGCTGGTACTTTTATTGGAGTATTTGAGGAGCAGTGGAATGAAATTTTAAATTTCCTTTTGAACCGAATTTGAATTTCGAATAAAACGATTTTCTGAATCGATTTGCATAGTCAGGGCTAATATCTAATAGGTTGATTTTTGTTACATACATGTGTTGTTTTTTGGTCACTATTTATTAAAACTTTAGATGCTAAACACATCTCTATACATTGGTAAGACTAACACCTCTGTTTTTCGTTCTTAAATTCCTATGGCAAAAAATGTAACTGTTAATTGCATCTAACTTCATGTCATCAATTTAAGTTGAAATTCAGTTTGATTGGATGAATCTCGAAAATATTTTTATTGTTTGAATATATAGTGTTTGTTGTTTTCGTTTACTATTTTCAAAATAAAAAAAACAGTCAGTACAAAGTAGTGCTAGATATATACCTGACAGATGCACGAAATGGAAGCATTTCGCAAGCTACAACCAGAAAGAAAACAGGACGCAGACAGTTCTCAGGAGCAAATTGAATTGAATTCCAGCGTAGAAATGCGTTCACCATCACCAGTTTGTCACATACAACCACGAAAACTGCGGTTTGCCTCACCACCGATTGATGAAGAACCGCAGAAACGGTCTAGCCCAATACATACACGGTCGAGTGCAGCAGCAGCTGTTTCACCCCCATACCGCAAGGTGAGAGCTTTAAGACTATTCGACACCCCCGCTACACCAAAAACAATACTTCAAAAATCAAGAAATCATCTTTCTGCGGCAGTAGCTGCAGACGTTGCTCGAAAAAATCAGATAGAAGAACGTCCAAGATCGTTACCTTTGCATAATCGCGTTAAAGATAATTTTCAACCACAATGGAATGTAAATCCTTTTACTCCTGATAGTAAGTTATTGCTTGAGTGAATGTTGCTTTTGAATTAATCATAATTGGATAATCACTTCATAGGTTTTTTGGCAAGAAACAAAAAACGCTGCCGCACACAATTCGGTCGTGATAATTTAAGCAATAGGTCCTTACAAATATTTCTCAATTCAGAAGAAGAAAAAGATGATGGCGAAGGAGACGAGAATGTTGAATTAGTGCAAGCACCAAAAAGACTTGCCCTGCAAGACACGAATATTAGTCGTTATCAAAAGGAATTTTTGGAAATATCCCTTATAGGTAAGCTAACATTTTACGACTATGAAATTCAATATTTAAATGCTATATATTTCTCAGGCATAGGGGAGTTTGGTTTAGTTTATCAGTGCCTTAACCGTTTGGATGGTTGTGTGTACGCTATCAAAAAGAGCATAAAGCCAGTGGCCGGCAGTTTTTTCGAGTAAGTACATTTGAAGATTTAAAGAAAACCTTCTGATCGTTCTAATTTTTTTTATTCTAGAAAACGAGCTTTAAATGAAGTTTGGGCACATGCTGTGTTGGGAAAACATGACAATGTAGTGCGATATTACTCAGCGTGGGCGGAAGATAACCATATGCTTATACAGAATGAATATTGTAATGGTGGTAGCTTACAATCGCTAATACAAAAACGTTGTCTTGTTGAATCTGAATTAAAAATTCTGTTGCTACATGTGGCAGAAGGCTTGCGATATATACACTCTAATGATCTGGTGCATATGGATTTAAAATCTGGTAATATATTCCTAACCAAAATGCCTTCATTACATAAATCCAACACATTAACAATGGCAAAAGAATTCTATGAAGATGGAATGGATGGTATATACGAAGAACTAAGTAACACGGAATGTATTACAACATACAAAATTGGTGATCTAGGACATGTGACATCTGTCAAAGAGCCACATGTGGAAGAAGGCGATTGTCGTTATTTACCTTTTGAAATACTACAAGAAGATTTTAGTAATCTTTTCAAAGCTGATATATTCTCATTGGGCATGACCCTCTTTGAAGCTGCCGGTGGAGGACCATTGCCGAAAAATGGACCAGAGTGGCAGAAGCTTCGAAATGGCGAGGTCCCAAATTTACCAACATTAAGCACAGAATTCAATGAACTCATTCAACTAATGACACATCCAGATCCGGAGAAGCGGCCTTCATCTACATCCATTTTCAATCACCCGTAAGTAAAAAAAAAAAAAATATATATGTATATATGTGCATGGTATTTTTCATATTAATTTATTTTTAGCATATTAAGCTCAATGGAGTCAAAAAGCAAATCTCAACTTAATCAAGAATTGACCATTGAAAAACGAAAGAATGAAATATTACTGCGTAAATTACGAGAAGCTAAAAAGCTCCTCAAGCAATATGAGCAAAATGAAAGAGGTGAGTGAAAACCAGATTTATTCGCAGAATGCCTATATCTGCATACGATTTATATTTTGTTAAAATTAACTTTCAGAATAAGTTTATATTAACATATTTTTCGTTATGCAGTTAATCAAACACCTACAGCTATTATGGAACAGCGTTGCCTGCGCTCATATTCACGTAAGAAAAATACCCCATGTAAAATGGGTGGATTGCGTGATAGTAACAAAAATGTAATTAATAAATTAAATTACTAAATTACCGATGAATGTTGCCAACTTTAAATGAAGAAGTTATATAAATGAATTTGTCCTTATTTTTTACAAAATGAAAACCGACTGTAAATAAGAAACTATATATATATATATGTGTTTAACTGTACTGATATAGCTTTATTTTAGTTTTTTCTTGCTTTAGTTATCACTGACTTACCTACCTTACCGTTTTATGAAAAATACTTACAGTTGATAGCTACCTACTGAAGGCATATAAAAATAATTTGACTTCTATGAAGTCAAAACTAATTAGAGTACACATAAAAGAAGGCAACTAACAAAATGCTTATGTTTGCTACAAACATTGTCGACATGTTGTAATAGTAGTATTAAAAAGTAAAACTGCATTACGTCTTATGTGTATTATTTTGTATGTCGTATTACTTTGGTTAAAAAAGATAAGAAATCATTATTATTTCACTTGTTTTCTTATATTTTTACTTTCACTTATTTTTGAATAAAAATAAAAAAATATAATGTGAATATTTCAACACTGTAATAAATTTAATTTTCATTTTGTTTATACTTTTTAGTTTATATTTAAACAATTTAATTAGAAAAATCTTTCTCATTCCTATATGAATCTACATCATAACAATAAAAACCGTGTTGTTGATACTGTCAGTCAGAATCATTGATGGCTTTTTTTCGTTTCTTTGCTTGTGAAATTTTTTGTTTGGGCCAATCCTCCTGAAAGTAAGAATTTAAAATTAGAATTTTTATCTTTTTTTTTTTACTTTTTGCAATTTTTTGATCACGCACTTCACTTGATTCTTCATCTGATGAATAAATGGTTTTAACGGGATCCGAGTTTTTCTTACTACTCGCGCTATGGTTGTTTGTATCTTTTTTACTAGTCGGAGGTTTTCTACCACGGCCGCTACCACCTCGTCTCCCCACTGCTGTAGTTTCATCTTCTGCCGCCAGCGCGAATAAATCGCTATACTGCTTCTAAATGTTCCAAATAATAAAATGGTTAAAATAGATTATGAAGATTAAAAAATAATAACAAAAATAAAAAAAAATACAAAAACACTCACTTTTGTGCTTTCATTACTGTGTGCATACGCTGCCTGTAATGCACGTTGCATGGTATCGTAAACGTAAAGGCCTGTCCCTGTACCATGTCTGCAGCTACGTCGATAGTGCTCTAAATGACTCAACACCTGTAACAAAAAATACATTGAGTAAATTCTTATATGAATTAGTAATTTGTAATATACATGTATACACAAATATATTACCTGATCAGCGGACGGTAAGCTGCTCATTGCCGAGCTGCCCTTAGTTTGTCTTTTCCGCTTGTTCGGCGACGAGCTTGGATATTTTGAAGTGAGCAGTGATGCTATGATTTCCGACAACTTTTCTTCACCACGTTGGCACCAGAACCTATGGAAGGAATGGTTAAAAAATAAAATAAATATATATATTTGAGAAATACACACAAGCATTTGTAAACTTTTAAAGAATTGAACCCGTGCGACAGAAAAGTTTAAGTTTCTAGTAGAAGACTCGCCATGGGAAGTGTAATGCCTTTACCTAATTTTATATAATATTCTGATTTGTAGAAAAGAAAAAATTCTTTTGGCAGAGTTTTTTTTTTTTAAATTCACTCCTGCGGGTTAGGGGCCAAGAATTTATTCGCGGTAAGGCATGGCTGTCGTAAGAGGCGATTAAAATCCAATGTTCCCGTGAAAATCATTCGGAAATCCTTGAGATAATTAAAACGCCTGTCGTAAGAGGCGACTGAAATACAATAGTTCCCGGGACAGTCGAGTATTTATACCGGAACGATGCGGATTTTTATCGGGCCAAGGACTGTCTCTCCCGCAACATTCCCCAAAAGGTACTTTGGGGAATATTTTTTTGGGTATAACAACAACAACAACAAGATGATTAAAAATAACATAGCATTTCAAAATATTCGGAAAGTAAAATATTTTCAATCAATATGACTTATTAGCATATAGAAAACTCCCAATTTTTGCACAACAATATTTACACATACATTGAGTACAATATTTTACTTACCGCAAAGCCGAGGTTACGAATGGATCACCTCGAGACTTGGTTTCTCTACTGAGCAATAGTCGTATCAGTTCATTTGTAGGCTCCTCATTCTTGAGCCATAAAAGCATATAGCTAAGCGCTTCCGGATGACTTGACGATTCAAGTTCAGGTAAAATATCCTAAAAAATTAAATATGTACATCAATTATAATTCCTAAATCGTTTAATAAATATGTAAAACAACTTCGATAGTGATCGCCTATATCAATTAGCCGTTGAATTTTTAAACAATTATCTATCTATCGAAATTTGTGAATGCAATATATTTCTTAAATGACGTTGGTAAAATTCTTATTAACATATTATTTATAAAACAAAATTACCTGCAGACATTTAAGCGGAACATCATGTGCTTGTACCAATTGCCACAAGCTCAGTTGTTCAAATGTTTCATAAACTAAACTTTCCCGCATGCAGTCTATCAGTCCATCTTGCTTGAATAGTGTCAGTTTCCCTTGTGCCACATAGTATATCAAATCACGCAGGTTCTTCGCATCAATACACCTCAATGTAATACGTAGCAATTCATTGTTGTTAATGGCTGTACTCTTGAACTCGCGATAAATGTCTGGTAACAACCACAGGAAAATTGTCGTACTTTCTTTTTCAAGCATATCCAAATCTCGCGCCAGACATTCGTCCATTTTTTCGCCACTAGCTTCGCACAAAAGGCGATAAATTGGAGTTTTAAATTGTGTCGCTTGTTGACTATTTTTACGTGTTTGTAATTTGACATGGACTTTCATAAAGTATAATAATAAATAACCGATTTCTGGTATTCTTTCGCATATTTCAGAGAGTAAAGTTTGAAACGGTTTTTTACTCTTCTCATCATTTTCATAGAGAAATCGAAATAGCCCAAATAGTGGATAGCTTATACTTTTTGCCAGATTTTTTTCATCAGTTTTACTGTCGGTGAAAATGTTTTGTTGCGGCAATGTTTCACGTAATATTAAATGCGTATTCGAGATCACATAATTGAGCTGTGCTTCATCCAATGCTGATGCGGGCAATGTACGAAAGTCCAACAAAAATGCTTCCCATGTAAAGGAATTACGTTTTGTAACGAATGTTTCGAATGAGTCACTAATTGTGGCGGGTAAATCTATTTTCTCTGGTATTGGCTTCTCTTTTAAACGCACTTTTGATAGAGGCAAATCATCATCATCGTCTGTTAGCTCTTCGCTTTTGGTATCTTTCGCAACATCATCATCATCTTCACTAAAGGCAGCTTCGGTTTCGGTATCATTAGTTTCGGTTGGTGTAACAGATAATTTATTATCCTCATCCAAGCTACTTATACTACTGATTCCACTAGCTGCAATTATGCCACCAACAACATCAATGCCTTGAACTTCCGTCAAGTCAGTTACGTTTGAATTTAATTGAAAGCTATTTTGTAGTTGCATGTCATGTTGTTGTACTAATGGACCACCGAATACAGCTTGACCGCGATGTGATACGCGCGGCTCCGTTTCCTTTTTAAACGCTGGAATTGGCACTATTGGTGCTGTTGTATGGGTTGGCGGGGACACGAATTCACGGAAATTTTCTCGAATCAAATTGCGCAGCTCTCGATCTAATTTCGGCGACTCGAATAGCGGCTGCAAATTTGGAATGACCTGGAAGTGAAATATCATAAGTATTATATACAGATCAACATTTTTAATATAATATGTAATAAACAAAAACATGAGCTTATAAGCTATGTAAATAAATATATGTAAATGAAAGTTCTCGATGAATTAAATCAAGAATAAAAACTTATATTATTTGCATATTCACCTGCTTTTCCAGAATTTTGTTCAACGAATTGTAAACGCCCATACGTATCTTGTCCTCGTGACGTATATCAAAATTTTTCATAATTCTACAGAGGAAATCCAGTAGAGTGCAGCTTACAAAAGGATGATTTCGAATTGAATGATACATTACTAAAATACCCGGTTCAATATTCATTATATTATCTTTGATTGGATCGAAAAAAAGCCAATCATAGAAAAGTGAAAGTTTAGCATTAGCCAACGCTATCGGATTTGTACACGATGATATAAGCCATCCAATGATCGCCCAACGAGGAATGATATCCGAGCACAGCATATCATTCGTCGGATGTATGACATTTATAATAAATCTTATTAAATCTGAGCGCAAACTATGGGATTCTGGTGTGGCAAAATATTTATCCTGGAACCAGTCCTGGTACCGTTTTTGATTTCCAAATTTAACTGAGGACGCCAGGAACGTTAATTTACGTTCAATTTCGGGCGTTAAACGACTTTGTAAAAAACGTCTGCTTGTACGCGTTTGCAAAAGTTGCCAGATTCCAGTAAATGTTGGATGTAGACTTTCTGGGTTATGTAGAATGTCACGCCATAGTTGTTCAAATTCTGGAACTCGTGCAACATTTTGTAATAGCCTGTAATTGAAATAAAGTGTTTCATCACATGGGTAAAAAAAATCCCCATTAAATTTTTATATTTAGAAGCAAAAATGCGATAAGTTTTTTACTTATAACATTTAATAAATAATAAAGTAAAAAGTTTGAATGTACCTTACAAAGTCCCTTCCCAAAGGTATTATGTCCAAGAACCGGTCACGAATTAATGTTATTATAAATTTTACTTCCTTTTGTCGTAGTGCAGTTAGTGAAGGACTTGCATGATCTTCTATAAGTCGCACATAGCTATACACCACAGTTTGCACTAAGAAAGCCTGTGACTCTAGCCAGGCACGATAGTCGATAAATATGTCTAGCAATCCTTCAACTAAGAATATATTTTTTAGTGACACATCGCCACCGCCGGCTTGCCTAAGACAATTCCACACAATATTTTCTACCAAAAGCACTTGATGTTTTACCAGTTCTCTTAACAGCCATATGAGCTGGCGGCGAGCCACATCAGTTAGTTTTCCATATTTTTCAGCTACAAGCATAGTGAGGTTTGAAACTACCATATTCATACCATCTCGTGCGACCAGTGTCAAATCTCTATAGGCTTTGGGTGCTATGACAGGGTCAGTTAGCATTGTATATAAAAATCCGATGGATATATCTTCATGCTGTTTTTCCTTGCACACAAGTTGTGACAAAATGTCATGCATATCCTTATCATTGAGTCCATTTATTTGCTGCTGTAGACTAAAGTAGGCGCGTTCAAACCGCTATCAATGAAAAATACAAATTTAACACTTGCCACTAATTCCAGCAATCCAATACTAAACATTATGAAAACAAACCTCTTCCAATTCATCTCGAAGATCAACGGACGAACAGATGAACAACTTCGATTGATTGTGATTGCTGTGTTGCTCCATTTCTAGAGCTCCCTCCCGGTCGGGAATACTGCGGTCGTATTCACAATCTTTTGGTCGCTTTGGGTACATAAAACTCTTTAATTCATATTTCAGGCGGAAATGCCGATCTCTGATTTAAAGGCCTACAAGATTCTTTGACTTTAATTTAAAATCTTCATCGACAAATAAATAAAATGAAAATTTTTGTCTAAATTGTAAATCGAGAAAGCCAGCAGTTTTCATCAAACGAGTTAATAGCGCAGTGTTGTATTAAAGTCACGAAAAATATTTCAATCGTGCAGTTGCGAGAAACTTTACACTGCGTTCATAACACCGTGGTCTTGTCCGAATTTCTTAATTACACAATTACAATTAGATTACTAATTCAGGCCTATTCTGTCGAGGTAATAAAATTTACTTTGTATTAAAATTTACCATTCAGTAAATTTTGTTACTATTTCGTATTTTCAGTTCCTGTCACCCTGTAAATTTTGTTACCAGCGAAATAGGAGGTAACAAAAAATCTACTGTTTGATTTCGTGTTGTTAGTGTGAGGAAAAATAAAAATCAAAATAGGTAGGCATATTTTAAGCCTAGAATTCATTGAAGATGAAGAAATAAATGTGTAAAGGCGTATGCTAAGAAGTTTGCAAGAAACAAATGACGCTTTTAATTTGGAAAATTGCGTTTTCATTCAGATTTTTTTGTAGCTTATATTAGGTTCAAATATTTATGATAATAAACATATAAATAAAATTTATTTATTTTTTTTACTATAGCAACGGGCGAATATAATTTGACAAGGACAAAAAAAGCAGTGCTGCCCTAGTTTTTTCAAACATTGTAGCCAGTTCGCCAGAATACCAAATTCCATTTTGGGTGTTAAAAAAAGTAACAAAATTTACTTTACCGGTAACAGTGAGAATAGGCCTGTTTATCGTATTATTTACACATAAAATCTAATAACTATTTATTAAATCCAAACATTTTATGTCTTGGTACGCTCACAGAATTGACAATTGAGTATAGGTCAGGCGTAGAAATTAATTAATTTCAGATTGCATGTCAAAAACGATCAATTTCAAAACTTAATTTCTAGAGGAGTCACATATAGCATAAAAGCACTCATGAAATTGAAGTTTAGCAATTTTTCTTATTTCACAAAACTTTATCAGAAACTTATTTAACAATACCAAACCCTTTGACAAGAACTGCTAGATTGTATGCCATTATATGAAATTAAATTGCAGAAATTAATTTTCGGGTGGTCAACGTCAAAATTGTAATATTTTGACAGAAAATTGCGTTTTTTATTTTTAATTTTTTACTTTATGTTTTATGACTATATTTTTTGACACGTAGTTTATTCATTCGGATAGTTTACTTTTTACAATCATATCCAAAATAAGACACTATTTATATATTATTTTCTTAATTATTAGTTATAGTTATTATACTGCTAAGCTAAGTTCTCAAAGAAATAATTTGTGTTATTTGTGTTGTTATCGCTCGTTCTTGCATGAGACGTGGTAAGAATGATAAAGTGCAGAGAGTGTTACAAACTCTTTGGTGTTTGGTTCAGATTACCAAACAAATTTTATGAGAATGCGTAACATAAATGAAAGAGTTAAATCAGCTGTAAATAGCTCATAAGTTTTAACGAGAGTGTTGGCAAATAAAACCGTTCACATTTTTCCATACATTCATTTATTAAAGCAAATATACTTAGTCAATTGATATATATAATTTTAAAAATCTTAGTGGGGTTTGAATGCCATAACTTTCTGCCATAAAAACCTAATGAGTTGACCATTAGGGCGGTAATGAAAAGATTTTAAAACTGACATTTCATTTCACATATCTTAGTGGTGGAATTGTTCGATATAATTTAGTCGATGGTTTTTACAGTTCTCTGCTCTTTGTTCATCATTTTACCAGGCTTTACTTTGATTAGTTTGATAAACATTAATTGGTGTTGAAATTTCTCAGAAATTCGGGTGGTAGACACATTAAATAACTCAATCTTTTAAAAACCCAATAAAGTCCAAAGTGGAGTTGGAACAAGAAGAAGTAAAAATAATGGAGGAGATGATGGAGACGGTGGTTCCGCAAGAAGATTTTGATGTTTGTAGTGTCATTAACTCAATGAAATTACGAAATTCATTTTTTGTAATCTTTTTTTCAGCGTAATGAGCAAAGATATCTTCGAGAATTGGAATTAGATGGGCACGCAAGTGTGGAAGCCAAGTTTGGTTACGCATATTGTTTAGTCAGGTGCGCGCACAAACAGGACATAGCTAAGGTGCGTTCTATGTAATGCAATTTTTTTATAGTAGTACCAGGCAATGACTAATCAGTTTAGTGTAATAAAATAATTTGATACATTAAAATATGTCCCATTATACCCATCATTATCACAGGGCATTGAATTGTTAGAAGATTTGGCAGAACATCATCCGGAAGGACGAAGAGATTACCTTTATTACCTGGCGTTGGGTGAAGCACGCATGAAAAACTACTCAGTCGCCTTAAATTACTGTAAAGGTTTCTTGGAGATTGAAGATAATCCACAAGTTCGATCATTACAGGTAATATATGTATTTGAACCAAAAACACATTGGTTGTCTTAGAAATTTATGCCTAAAAGTCACAATATGTATAATAATTTATAAATATAATATATAATTGGCGCTTTGTAAACGCGATTTTCAATTCATGCCGAGAAAACAGGAACATTTAATTTATGATTAAATTTGAAGTTTTAATGTTGGGTTATTCCTGAGTTTCTATTGTGCTAGCCGAGGATAGAAAATAAGTTATTTTGGAAATCTAAATTAAACAATTTATATATAACGGAAAAAATAAAATTTTAACTTTGTATATCTACCTATAAATTATTTATAGGTCCTAACTTTTAAAAGTGATATATAGCATACTTTCTTTTGCTTACAGGAATATATTCAAAAGCGATACGATAAAGATTTAAAGAAGGGCATGGCTGTTGCCGGTGGCGCTGTTCTTGTCTTGGGTGGTATTTTGGGGCTGGGCATGGCGCTTGCCAAAAAGTAATGTTTTACAATCATAACATATTTTTAAATATCATAAAAAATGTGTTTACATACATATTTATTATCATAAATTATTTAAAAAGATTTTTCCGATATAGGCATTTCTTATAAAAACTATTTGTATTATTTATATTTGTAGTAAAAACAGACGTGATAAATAAATATTGAACCGGAAATGACGTCTACATAAAAAATATGTGAAGCCAAATCTTGTTGATACTGACTATATGTTTGTACAGCATAGAGTTAGTTGAGGATATTGTTTTGGAAAAGATTTTAAAAATATATCGTATAGTCATGCAAAGTTCTTCGTCAAAGTAATAAGGGTATTTATTGCACATGGAGGAAGGTTGAGGCTCACAACCGTTCAGTCTTCTATCGATTGTCTTCGTTACACCACTAAAGTTTTTAAATTTGTTTTCGAAGTTAGAATATAAGAGTTTTTCTTCATTGGATTGCATACTTTTATGAAAAGCGCGATATTAGGCGCGGTATATGAATCTATTTTTCTACTCACTTTGCTTAATTGTAGTAATATATGTTGTTTACAACATGAATAAATTAAATTTTACCAATATTCAGTAAGCCAAAATTGCCTAATGTTTGTACACAATTATGTAAACCCATTTTTTTCTATGTAATAAATTTGCAATCATTAATGACGAGTAGTTATATATTATATTTTCTCTTTAAGTGTGATATACACTGTAATATATAATTTGTTGAGTAGTGAGATAAGTTTATTGGTATTAAAAAAACGAGATATAAATCCCCGAAATCTGTAAATCTATTTATTCATTTAATCTATTTTCAGAAGACTCTTGTAAACTGAAAATCTTACCATAATAATTATCTGTGGTTTAGTTTGTTTCTCTCTAAATTAACTTTTACACTAATTATGTACATTAATTGCACGAATTACAATAAACCAAGTCGTAAATAATAGTTAAAAAATATAAATGCATCCGTTTCCAAAATTTAAGCGTTATTAATAAATATAGTTGAATTCACGTCTTACGTCTTTTAATAGTTTACTATGTCTTTAATTGCGGTTAGGCAACGGTATTTGTCAGGCAAGTAAAATGGTTCGAAAACATGTGGGAATGGAGTATCCCAACCGCAAATTCGTTTCACTGGTGCTTCTAAATGCAAAAAACATTTCTCTTGTATAGAAGCTGCCAGCTCCGCACCAAAACCTTGAGTCAAAGGAGCCTCGTGGGAGATGATTACGCGACCTGTTTTCTTTGCGGACTGAAAATAAAAAAAAAGATATTGTTGATAGTATTGACAATTCATAATAATATGGACTTACATTAAACACAGTATCGCGATCCCAGGGTAAAATAGAGACTAAATCAATTACTTCGCAATCTATTTTAAATTCCTTTTTTGCAATTTCTGCCACCTTAAAATTATATAAAAAAATTTACAATATATCAACTTAAGGTTTGTAATAAATATTATGTAAAGTACCTCTAGTAGTACATGTACTTGAGTGCCCCATGCAATCAGCGTGACATCTTTTCCTTTACGCAAAACATCTGCTTTGCCAAGCTCAGAAATATAATCACCAGTAGGTACTTCTTCAACAGCGGCTCGGTAAAGTGTTTTTGGTTCAAATACAATACATGGGTTAGGATCGCGTATACAAGCAAGCAATAATCCTTTTGCTTTCACGGGCCCTCTTGGTACCACCACTTTTAGGCCAGGTGTATGTGCAAAATAGGCTTCTGGGCTTTGAGAATGGTAAAGAGCTCCATGACCTACGGCACCACATGGCACTCGAAATGTCAACGAACCGCAATCGAACATGCCACCACTACGGTAGCGATATTTTGCGGCTTCATTTACAATTTGATCAAATGCAGGAAAAATATAGTCTGCAAATTGTATTTCTGCAATGGCAGTGGAACCAACGCTTGCAACGCCAATGGCAAATCCAGCAATTCCTTGTTCACAAAGTGGTGTATTAAAAACACGATCCTTTCCATATTTATCACGCAAATTAACTGAACAACGGAAAACACCTCCAAAACCAACGTCTTCGCCGAAAAGTAATGCTGTTTTATCTTGTGCAAGTACCAAGTCCATAGCGTTGTTTATTGCTTGAACCATATTCATTTTTTCAGTACCATTAACATTTGATCTCACCTCCTGAGGCGATTTATCTGGATAGTAAGTGAAGTGGTTGCGACTCCATTGTACAGTAGTTCGTGGTTTCAATGTGTTTATTAATGTCCACAATGACTTCCTCATGTTGTTTAGCAAGTAGTAATATTGTACATATAGCACACAGGTTTGTGATAATATTCTTATCTATCCGAGGTTATGTAATTGGTGATCTTTATATACGTACGATCATATGGCTGCCACAAGAATAAGTGATCGCAGATTACGCGTTAATGAATGAGTGACGTCATAAAAACACAGAGAGACACAAGACGGGGACACTTTGAAAATAGCATTAACATTTATTTTTCTAAAACAAGACATTTTCTGTGTAATAAATGTGTATATATATACATGACTTAATAAAATTAAAAGCAAATGTTTTACTACTGCTCGTATTAACTAAAATTAGCATAAACATAAAAAAATATACAATTCATTCTAAAAATGAAGTGCATCTAATTAGCAATAAGTAATAATAATTAATTATTATTTGACAATACAATATTAGTTCTGCTCGATGAGCTGATGAGCAGTAACAACTGTTACCAATTTTCATTGAAGCGCATTCGCTAGCAAACCTGGATAATTCTTAGTGACATTTCTTACCGAATATAGCGTATAATATAATTAATGTAGAAGTAAAAATAAAGGACAACCCCACTAGCAAAGGGGTCCTGCAGGTTTAAGCCCTTCCCAATTGGCTTATGATTACCAGTGCATGCTACCATGCGGATGTTAATGGGTTCGAATTCTGGACCGATCAAAATCAAAATTTGTGTGGAATTAATTTATATAAAAAAAAATTAAGTTAATTTTCCTGATTACGGTCGCCATCGGTAGGGAATATCAATACTCAAAGATGCATTTCTGGCATGAAATAAAACGTTCCTCATAAAAGCTTGATTTTAAAAAGCTTTTATTGCAAATAAATACATAAGTCGTCTTATTTAAAATAACTGTATACATATGTACAAAATACATCGTTACAAAATTCCATGGTAAACAAAAAATAAAGTTAGTTAATTACAAAAGATAACATTGTTTAAAAGAATGAATAAATTAAATGAATAAATTACAGAAAAAAATATAATAAAATACGCATAAAAGTATTTGAAATATAACGGAGAGTTTTTATACTGCCTTCAAAGGAAATGACTCAATGAATCTGGTATTGAGCAATGACAATGTGGGTAAAAATAATGGTGTATATAATTAAGTTAAAATGAAGTTATGTTAGTATCAGTCACACTTTGCGTGCACCAGGTGGTATAAAATTAAATAGGCTAAGGTTTTATATCTAATAAATACCTAGCGCATTCAATGGCGCTTTTTAAATTCAGTATTATTTCGAAGAGATTCTTAAGCTTTGAATAATATGTAGTATGAATTTTGGTACGAGTATTTTTATATTTAACACCCTCAATCATTTTTGAAATAATATAAGATATCCAAAATATATTCGTTCGTGGCTCAAAAGTTTCCCAATTATTCCTATGAAAGAAAAACGTATTACTATAAAAAATTTTAAAAAAAATTATTTGCATATATACAGTGCAACCTCGATTTAACAGCGTTAAGGATGTCTACGGGATCATAAACGGCGGTCAGCTTTACCAGTTATTCTTTCCAATCAAAACATACTTTTCCACAAACACTACCACTTTACTTTCACCACAAAAATTGTTTGAACCATTCTCATTTCGGTTTTTAAAATCTTGAAGCCAGCACAGAACTTTGCATGTACCAATTCTACTGCAAATTCAAACCAAACAGGGACTATGAAATTAGGAGTCATACTTTGGTGGGAACTTTATATAAAGGCTTTGGGTTGGCAAAATACGTTAATTAGAGGTACCCATTATTTTTTTGTTATAAAGAGGTTGTTCGCAATGTTACGTAGACTATTATAGGCAATTCAAGGAGATTACATTACAAGTACGTTATATTAAGGTTGCACTGTAGTACGAGGTTTGACATTTAAGTAACGAGACTGATTATATTGCCGATTATATTGACTGATTATTTACCGACTTAGTCGCCCGATATGTCACCCTGTGACTTTTTTGTTCCCTAAAACAAAATCGATGGTCAAAGAAACGCATTTTGCGTCGATTGAGGACATCCAGGCGGCCGTGACAAGGGTACTCGCGGATATCGCAGTCTAAGCGTTTCAGAAATTTTACGAAGCATGGAAAACGCGCTGCAATCGTTGTTTAGCTGCCCAAGAGAACTATTTTAAAGGGGATGGCAAGGTGGTAGAATAATTGGATCATGCAGTTTCTATGGATTCAATCTCATTACTTAATTGTCACACCTGGTATTTTAAATACCTTAAAGCTTCACGCATCATACGATAGATATCAAATTGATAGTCACCACTGGCACTGAAAAGATCTTCATCACAGGAGATATCGTTGTAGTGACAACAGTTATCAAATGTCATACGCGAAAGAGTATAATCAATGAGTGTAGTTTTAATTCCTTTTGTAGGCACAGCATATGTCTGATTTCCCAATGTAAATTTTACCTCCTTCGCAGTTGTGTTTAAAATTAATATATTTCCCCAATGTAAATCACGATGTTCAAATTGATACGCATTCTCAGCTACAGCTATTGTTAGCACAACCTGGTGATTAAAGGTTAAAAGAATAAAATACAATTAACAATATAGAAAAATACATACTTGTACAAGTGCAAAGTAAGCCTGCTCAGCATTTAGAAACGTGAAACTTTCTAGATCTTTGCCGCAGAACTCCAACTCTAAAACAATATAGATTTGAGTTTCGTCAAAAATATCGGGATGGTCGTTTTCTGATCCCTTCTCTTTATCAAAACTTTCCCATAACTTTTGTAAATGCTGAGGATATTTTCCTTTCACGCAAGCAATCTAAACAACAAATTCAAATTTAGTTAATATTTAATGCGGAAGCAAAGAATATTTTACCTTTTTTACATTAACAAATCCACTTGTTATATTTGCAGAGTCAATTTCTTTTCGTAAGTTAGCCAGTTCAATTGAAATTACAACTTCTGATAATATTTCTTCAAAAGTCTTTTGCTTTTCACCATTGACCTCAATATCACCCTCAATCGGTATTATTTTCATTACAGTACTACTTGCGTCTGGTGTTTTTCTTCTATTTGTGGCTTTCAAAAAAACCTCACCATAAGCTCCTTCACCAATTTTCACACAATACATTAAATTATCTGTAGCATACTGCTCTTCAAAGGGTAATGGAAAAGATTGATTGCAGCGTTTTAAAACTCGACGTTCCCAATCGTCTTCATTATCAGGTATACATGGTAAGTTTTCAGAGACACGTTCAGGCTTTAAGTATATAGACTTTCTTTTACCAACAACATAGTCAATAAAGCCTATAAACTCCACAGAACTGTTACGTTTATCAGACTTTCTTCTTGCCAACGAACTCGAGCGTTTTGTAACTGAAGTAAAAAAATACTGTACATCTTGAAGCTTATGTATGTAGAATTCTTTTATAAAATATACCTTGATTCCGACGCCATAAGCAAATTGATTTCCGCCACTTTCCTGGCTGTAGAGTAAGACTGGGAACACGCTTTTGTATAACATCTGTACGGGTATCATCTTCTCGGTATGCCGGATTGATTAATGTCCTCCCTGTTGAAGATTTAGCTGTATTGTCAATTGCAGACTCGAAGCATACATGCTTGGAGTTGTTCGGTCGAACGCAACGATTGCTACTGTTCGAACTTGACTCGATTGTGGGTAAGTTTTGAAAAGACGCTTTTCTTGCCGACTCATCGAATTCTAAATAGAAAGGGTTATATATCTGGATATGAATAAAGTTATTTCTTCAATACCAATCGTCCTAATTCCCGAATTCATTGACGGACCAAGTAAATGTCTTTTATTCTGATTGCCAACTATCATCTCTTCTTTACTAGCATCTTTTCCTTTGCCGAAATACATTAAGCGCCATGCTCCGATTGGTGATAATGAACATTTAAATGGATCAACATTTATCCCACGATGTATCAAAGGTGTGGAAATTATACTTGATTTTCGACATTTATCTTCATTTATATCCGAAGAGATTGGTTTCAAATAAATTGAGTCACTTCCTTTGCTATTAATGCTATTCTCCACACTAGAATCACGGTTAAATGAAGCATGTACTTTTTTCTTCAATATATTCAATTCGCGTAACTTCCTACGAGTACACTTTTCAATAATAATGAATGAGTAGTTATTTCTAATTACAAACGGTCTTGGCTCCAATAACTTGTCAAATGAATCCATCCAGGCACCATCTTCCAAAGTATTATCACTGTTTGAGCTTTTGTCTAGACTAGTATCCATTTAAAAAATATATGTTTATTTCTGTAGCATAAAAAATATCTTGAAGCAAAAATAAATTTTTTCTAAACAAGCGCAGAGAATGTATAATGTATGTTGTATTTACATTCTCTGACAAGCGCTAATAGTGATCGCATATTTGAAAATTTTAAAATGGGTCAAATAAGTTGAGGCGTAAGTAAATTAATCGATAATAACCACCGACTATTTACAAGGCGAATTCAATGGAGCAAATTTTTTTCCTTGAAGCAATTACAGAAGATCACGATTTTTACGAATATGCTTTGATGATTTTCCAAATACTTCGATTTAGATCACTAGATTGTTAAATAAAAGGCACCAAACGTTGTACTATCTCTTAATTGTATAGAATCCAATCAACGTTGATTTATTACTTAATAAATAACAATTTGCTTTACTTTACACGACGATTTTACAACGTTCCCGCTCTTATATTTACACACACTATTTATAAATACACAGCTTATTCCTCAAAACTCTATTCCGATGTTGTCACCAACGAGTTCACTTTGTAACTGTGCCGTGTTGGCCGATCTCTATTATAACTCACTGCTTGCTCATAATTAGCTCTGGATATTTTTGGTATGTTCTTAAGATGTATTGAATAGCCGATACTAGCGCTCTAGAATGTCCTTTGGTTATTGGCCACTTTATTTCATATGTCATTCGTATTTAACCTTTTCACCACACTGCCCTCCACATAAGTCCGATCATACCGATCAACATACATTTACTACTGGCCTTTTCAAGTGAATAACTCTTATTTTGTTCCTACGTCTTTTTGGCGTTTTATTACCTTTTATGGACTTTCCCAATTGCATTGAAGTTTCGGGGACAAATTTTTCTTTCGTAGTGGATTGAATAACAACACTAAGTCCCCGCCTCGAAACCCTTCGGAGTTCTTTACCTTATCATACCTGGTCTTTATTTTAACATCTACTACAGTTTTAGCCTCCGGGTGTGGAATTGGATAAACCTCAAACTCAAGTAGTCCATAACCTCAAGCCGTACTAGTTTCCTAGTCTGTATATAGGGAATAGGCTTGCTCCATCCATATCAACTCGTTAGAAGGATGCACCTGAGCTATATTTTTGATGGCTTTTGAGCTTTGGCTCTTTAAAACCAATACTTTTCGTTCAGTTTGCAATTAAACCCAATAGAACCGCTGTTTGCTCTTTTCAAAGTTTTTGTTTAAGCGACCATTATGGAACTCCTTGAGAATGTCCGGAATTGTCAACTTCGGAACTACTGTTAGATCACGGGAGCATAAATACCAATAGTCAGACCACCCTTATTCCTTCTTTACATTTGGATTTTGGGCAGTGTTTACATTCTAGCTACATTGTCGACGGGTCAAGACGACATCAGGTAATGTTGCCCACACAGATACTTGCGGAAATGTTTGTTGCAATCTACCAATTACGCTGTAGTTCCGCTTCGCCTATCCAAAAGACCGGCTATAGTAAGCATATGCGTCTTCTGTCCATCAATTATGTATGAAAGTACGCCACCTATGGCATAACCACTAGCATCCGTATTCAGAATAAATGTTGCTTCTGGAACCGGATACGCCAGCATAAGCGCAGCGTATAACCATTATTTTAGGGTTTGGAAGGCTTCTTCTTGTTCCTCGTTTCAGTCGAAAGCTCATGGAGGCAATTAACCAACTCTACCGAAATTCGGAACAAATCGACGATAGTAAGTGCATAGCTCAAGAAAACTCCGTAAGTCATGCACTTTATTGGGCCTTGTCCAATCCTTTACTGCGTCTATCTTTTCTTACACAGTGCAGACCCCATTTGTCGTTTCCTTATGAACTAAGTAATTCATCTTCTTATTAAAAAACGGGTACTTACTTAGTGTTTAGTTTGAAACCAGGAGTAGCTATCCTGTAGAAAACTTCTTCCACATTGTACGGGTGTTCCCCAAAGCATTTACCCAATACGATAATTTTATATTGATACACAGGAACGTGGTGTGGACAATAATTGGTTCAACTAGATATTGATACATGCCAACGAAACAATCAATACATTGAATGAAGAGCGCATTATTTCGCACCGTTGGCCTGTGGTGTGGTCTCTAAGAACGCCGCTGGACTTTTTTGTTTGAGTCGCTTGTCTACGCAAACAAGCCACCCAGACAGTTGATGGAACATGTGGACGAAAATTGGGCCACTCGGCTGGACTTAATTCGAGCCAGTCGCGGCGGTCACTTGACCGAAATCATTTTTAAAATATAATGTCAAAAACTTATTATTACATCTTCTTGAAAACCGCATGTCTAAAAGACACACAGAAAAGTAGGATCTGTACATATGTATGTATGTATATCAATGAGTAGGTGATGAATGATAATGATTATTTAATGCAATGTGTTTCTGAGCCAAAACTTCTAAATATTATTGGGCACACATTTTATATTGCATTATGATTTTCATATTTGAAAATGTTGAAAGAAAAAAGCTCCGTTATTCAAATATTTTATACTCTCTCTTAAAAGCTTTCGCACATCCTGAGCTTTACAATGTATCGCTGTGAGCCGAAAAGGATTTCTAATATCTTCGTTTTGCTCGATTTGACACATATTCGTATCAGTGGAAACTGCTTTATTGTAAATATTAAGAAAAAACGCAGAAGAATTTGCATTTATAAAATGTGCTAAAAAAATTTTAATATTTAACAAATAAACTAATTATATCATTTTCTTTAGTAAATACAATTGTGTATAAATGTAATATGTAGTTATACAAATGTGTGTGCGTATGAAAATAGAAATATCAAAGAAAAAAATCTCAACCAAATAGTGCAGAATATTGCAAGATGAATTAAAACACTTATTTCACAAATGAATTGCAATGTGCAACAATAAAATTAAAGTAAACTTCAAATTCCTAACATCATACATTGTACAAAATCGATATCTCGCTTAAATCTCTTAAGTGCGTTGGTCAAGTTAAAGCGATACATTGCGGGGAGGGTCACGGGTTTCGTATTTCGTGAATGTGTGTGTGATATATCAATTGTTTCGGTTATTATTATTGTTATAAATAATGAAAAAAAGAATATGATGCATATGTGGGAATGCAGTTGATTGTGAAAGCTTAACGCTGAGATAAAAAAAAAAAAAAATAAAAAAAAAAAATAAAAAAATGCGATTTTCGGCATAGAACTAATATAAATGCGAAAATAGTGTGAAGAAATATTTTCAACAAATATTTGAGTTATAGAAAAGCGGCTAATAATTTAAAGTTTAAGGTAAGCACATTATCTATGTATGTATGCATTGATATACATAAAATCTCATACGTTTATTTAATTATTATTTTTTTAATAATTATATTAAAATATATAAATGTGTGTGCGCACACTTTGCGTGACAATTCCAAATTTTGCATTTTGTTGAACATATTTATATACTTAATTTGGCAAGCATATAGTATATATATGTACATGTACGTATAGTGCATGCAATCGACTGCATACATATACTACATACATACGTATGCATGTACGTCCATATATCAACTACACTAAACAAGAGCCAAACTGTCCACTTTATAATTGTGCAGCACTTTCCCAGGTTGGGGTAAATGATTCATAATGCTGTTTTTGTTTATGTTGTTGTTAAAACAAAACTACAATCTCGCTCTGTATGTAAAGAGATGATGTGCTTATGGAGAATTCGCAAGCTACAAAAAGTTCTCTTCTGTTCCTTTAAATGTTCGAGTATATGCAACTGGTAAGTTTAACACGGCAGAATATCTGTTGACATGATTAAACAACTGGGCAAGGGAGTACGGTTAGCTTTTTCTAATTAAGAATCACCGGGAATTTCTATTTATAATAACTCTCCGTATACATATCTTAGCTATTGACGAAAGAGTTTTAAGACGTTATTGTACTGGGTAATTTTTTTTAGTGAAAAGCTAACTAATTAAAAAAGTTTATTATATTCACTAATGTATATTTGAGCATTCAAAATTATAAAAAATGCAGTTTCTCATAGCGGTCGCCCCTCGACGTGGAATGTCAAGTTCTTCGAGCGTATTTCTGCCATAAGCTGTAAGTCCCTCTATTTGCTGGAAATCATCAAGACGGAGACCATGAATTGGAGCAGGGCCGTCAAGGAGGAGCGTCAATTATATATAAATCTTTTCATGTCATCACAAGCATCTACATCAATATCCAATTTTCACGCTCAGAAGGTCGAGATATTCACGCGAAACGCTTGATTTTATAACTTCATTGATGTAGTGAAGAAACTACTATAGTTTCATAAATATTATAATATAGTGGACCCTCGATTAACGAACCTACAATAATTCGTTTTAGCACCTCGTGCGCTATGCAAAAAGTTCGTTAAGCAAAAGGACTATTTCCATATAAGTACATGTCAAATAAAATAATCCCTTCCAGATCGAAAAAACTGCAGACTAGTATATCTCAATTATTTTATTAATTTATTTAAAAAAAAATTACAAAAAATACCTTAAAACTTTCAAACCGGAAAAATAAACCAATACATACATAGCACAGTAGTCAGATCTTTATTGTGATTTGCCACAAGCGCAATGTCATTGCTATGCGTCTCTAGCCCAATCTGTTCAGCTAAAGATATAATTTCTTCAAATGTGCTTTCGCCAAAGTTTTTTCCAGGAAGATTCAAGTGTTCTCTTAGTAATGCCTTTCCATACCGTTTCAATATTTTTGCCTCAGCCAACAATATGAAAGTGATTTTACCACAACTCCTTTAAGGTGAGATTAGTTTTTTCAGTCTCACTTCAAACCAATGTTGGAAAAGTTCTTTAGTGTAGAGCTTTTTAAAGTTTGAAATATCATGCTCAACCAGCGCTAAAGCAAAGGCGTTGTATTATCAGGCAAAAAGTGGATTTTTATAAATTTGAACTTTTCAATAAGATCATCTTGCAAACTTGGTGAACTTGAAGAAGCGTCATCCATAATAAGCAAGGCACGAAGAGGTAAATCCTTCTCAATCAAATATTTCTGCACGGAGGGACCAAAAAACGTTATTGATTCAAGTCACCCAAGTTTTTCTATTGGGGTTCCACATAATATTTAGCTTGCTCTCGTCGTCATTATGCTTTTTGAAGGCACGTGGATTCATTGTCTTGCTGCTGTTATGTATGCCCACTTGGGCATCTTTTTTCAAAAAAGATCCGTTTCAACACAACAAAAACTCTGCTGGGGTAAGAAACCATCAATATTCACAAGCTTCTTGAATTTGCCGACAAAGCTCTACCCTGCTTTAGCGTCTGAGCTTGATGCTCCACCATGTCTCATAACCAGTACGTTTTTTAAAAGTCTCGAACCACTTTCTTTGAACTCTTTTTCACTGGCTGCTAATGTTCCTGGCAACTTTTCAATGAAATTGGTGTAAATATTGTAGATTTAGCGTTCTCAAAAATTATATTCTGCGAAATTGAGTCACCTTGTTTTGCTTTTCGTTAATCCATATCAGAAGCAATTTTTCAAAATCACCCATAATTTGTGGTTGTTGCGAAGAAATTCTTGATATTTCCTTTGCAGCATTCATCAGGCCATTCTAGTCCTTATTCTGGAGGAGGGTCTTGTACTATACTTTTTTTCATTGGTTTTTTTTTTTGAGTTAGTATTTTTGGCAGCTCTTTCTTGATTTATACTTAGTTTATCATTTTATAATGCAGAGACTTACTTCTGAACAACGTTTGCAAATTGTGGGAATATTATTACCATCCACATTATGGAAGATTTGGGTGAGGCTATTGCTTTGTGAGCCTACAAAATCAAGCTTGAGCAAGAATTGAACGACAATGAAAAGCGTCGCACTCTGGGTAAATGGGTTCGAAAAGAGATGGCCACTGATCTCAATTTTTACACGATTTAACACCGCTAGACTATTTTTTGTGGGGTTATGTGAAGTCGCTTGCACGAGACGTGTGCTTGAGACGAGCAATAAAAACTTTAAGTTTCAGAAATTCCAATAGGTGACGATCGTTTGTCTACAAGCTGTCAAATACACGGCATTTGAAAAATGTATTGCCTGTTGTAATAAATTGAATTCTTGTTCAAATGCGTTCAATTTTATTTTTAGACCATAACCTCAAATTTGAGAACTCGCATTTGTTTTCGTATAGAATAGCATTTCTTTCCAGGATTGAATATAAGTTATCATGCCCCAAAGATTTGGTTGGACGATTTTGATGATTTTAGGTGACAATGTTTGTTTGTATGCATACGAGTATGTATATGTAGGTATGCAGAACCCCAAATTTCGTGCTTGTAGATATTTTTTGACGGATTTTTGACACAAGTGTCAAGAAACGATTAATTTTCATAAAGTTCTAGCCAAAAAACCTCCATTTGAAGTGAAGCTAAAATGAGAAAGCGGATTCCTGTGGTTGTGCGTAGGATTCCGGATCCACCACATGAAAAAATTTACTCCAATGAGAAACCAACTAAAACCTCGGATGAGAGATCTCCCTTTTAATGACGACCTCAGCAAATGCTTTAAGGATCACGATTTTAAGGCATGCACCTGGTCCATTAATTGAGAATTCGCCACTATCTAGTTGGGTGATGTCCTAATAAGATTAAAGGCGGACAAAAAATGCGTTGAACGGGACAAGGACAGAGGAAGGTGGGTCCTTGTGATCTTTACTACAGTGGTCATATAAAGGAACGCAAATTCGGTGTCGGTTTCGTGGTGGGAGAGAGACTCTATCGTCGAGTACTGGCATTCATACCGGTGAATGAACGTTTCGCCACAATACGCAATACGCAAAACGAGAAGGATGACTTGACCAAAGATGTCTTTTACGAGCGCCTCGAGCACACAAACGAGCGCTGGGTGGGAAAAGAAAGTATTTTTGGGATAATAGTCGGAAAATTCATTCTCCACCACGAAACATCCCCAAATGGGCTGAGGCTGATCGACTTCGCCGGGGTCCGAAATATGAATGTCTGTGACATTAGATTCCTGATCGAAAAACTTTAAACCAGATCGACCACGTTGTTATAGACGAAAGACATGTATCCAGTGTTTTAGATGTGCATACGTTCCGACGTCCATCGACTCAAATAACACTCTTGTCGCAGCTGAGATACGCATGCGCCCCTGTGTATCGAAGAACGCTCATCAACAAACACAAGGAAGGTTCGACGTTTAAAACCTGCAATCAGAACAGACTGCCGAGCGGTATTCTACTTGATTTGCACGCATGCTCTCTGAGAGCACTCCACAATAACCCGGTGGAGAGAAAACAGACTGCCTACCTCGCAACCTTGCGATCGACCACAACAAGTACGGGGTGCGATAGATACCGAGAGCTGAAAAGGGAAGCAAAACGCATTTGCAGGGTAAAAAAGAGAGAGTTTGAAATTTCCGAATCAGAGAACTCCATAGGAATTTACCTTACCCCCCAAGCGTTTCTACATTATTAGAATTTTCCATATCCTAAGAGTAACTGAAAAAGAAATCCAACTATTGTGTTATAATTTCTAATGAAACTGGCATTGATTTTGTTAATTTATTCTAATAAAGAAAGACCACTTTTATTTTTTTTTCAAAATTCAACTTTTATACGTATCCATTTGCATGTGGAAGTCTCCGTCTGATGCAACCGAAGGGATCTTATCCTTCCCTAAATCACTTCTTTGTTACACTGCCAGGAAATTTCAGTCTTTTGGGCCCAAACTTTCCCCACTTCTGAATTGCATCCACTTTTTCTTTCAATCTTATCAAAAAAGATCCTACTTCGCGTCTGTCTGTCTGTTCGTGATAAACTCATGAGCTATTCAACGAATACACTCACATATACATACACATATATGTATAAGGAGTGATGCTTTGTTAAACTTGCAGTAGGGCGTAGAATGTTCTTATATTTATTTATGAAAAATAGTAGTCAGCAAACAAATAACTCAAAACGTAAAAATTTGTATTTCTTCCATTGATCTTTAAATTTAAAAGTACTTCTCTTTTTTTATTTGTTGTAGCAAAATGCATTCGGTGGGCATCCATTCGGCTATGGCCATAAAACGTCAACGTAAACGACGTGACGAACAGAAACGAGCCCGGGAAAGACGTTACAGCACGCAGAGTTCTGAAAGTGGTGAAACATTTCATTCACCAAGCGGTTCCTTTCGACGTAAATTTCACCATGCACATAGTGTTGCTAAGCCTGGGCCAGGCATGCTGGACAGTCAGGTTAGTTTTCGTAATTTATAAACATTTTTTTCTTTAGTGCAAGCCTACTTAGCTCAAATATTCGCTATCCACAGGTTGTCACAAGCATTGGAATGCTTCATATTGGTATCGTTTTTATAGTATTTGGCGTATTCCTTTGTGGAGCGGGCATTATACCTGATGAAACTATGTCCTGGAATGTATTCAGTAAGTGCAATAATTTATTGTTAATATTATTTTCTTCCGATTACAGGTCTGTATAATCAACAGTAGTTTTCCCACATGACCTTGGCGACATTGGCAATGTATACATATGAATAATTCTTTTTTTTTAAACCTTTTTCTAAGATTGATTCTTGTTTTTGATATAGTCAATAACTTATTTTTTAATTAAAAGTAAAAAATGAGAAATGAAAAGAGTTGCTACCTATTTTTATTACCTGGGATCCTTTTCACGTATTAAAGTCACTCACCTGAAGTAATGCAAATTCGCATTATTTACGAGGATTGCGTATTGTATTTCGGGACTTTGCTACGCTAGTATTTCAGTTTGACAACTGACAACTTTATCGTAAAGTTTGACATTTTTGATGTTATACATACTCAGAAATTTTTGTCGTACGAGCTATTTGTGTTATTTACAGCATTATACAGCCTTCACAGTAGAAAAGCTTCGCGTCTGTTCCCGGTTTGAGCTTACAGTTAGTGATTACCTGATCAATTTCGTTTTTCATTTCAGTTGTCATTCGTACCTGTATTTTATTTGTAAGCGCAGAATCGCGAATTAGGGGCTCAGGAATATAACCGTGGTAAGGGTTGCGTGTCGTATGAGGCGACAAAAACTGCTACAGTCGGGTCTTAATACCGAAGCGACTGTGATTTTTATCCTGCCAATTACTGTCATTCCCGAAATATTCCCCGAAAAACATTTAAATAAATCCTTTCATTTATTTAGTTTTTTCTTCTTTTAAGAATTTTCATAAATTTTAATACAATAAGTAATTTTATGGCGTTTTTAATTTATTAGTATTTGTATAGTAAATTTATTTATTTATTTCAATAATGATAAAATTCTACATATTTCATTGAAGCCCAAAAGTTCTGCCAAAGAAGTAAAAACGCTTTACCGCAATTCTTTGCGCTTAATTTGGACGACAGGATGACTATTAAATTAAAGGAATCCCCAATTAGCTTCTCGCCCTAGTTCTAGTGTGGTGTGAAGTCAATGATTTCAGTCCACTGCTACCAAGTTTCTTTGTAACGGGTATCTTCACTATTTCATATTTTTTAATGGATATGCATTGTTGTCATTTCGTTGAAATCACTTCTTTTTTTAGTTAATATTTACTTCTTAAATCAAATTTCCTTTGTGGACAAAAATGCAAAGATATGACCACAAACCAGGTGAAAGCTAATTTTTACTGGCTGAAATTTTCTCATTACGAATTTGCATTTTTCTGCCAAAACTAAACGTCAAAATTGCACCCTCTCGGTTCTAATTTTAGTGACTTTTTCTCTCACCGAATAGTTTTCAGTGAAATTCAGTATAAACTCTTACTAAACAGCAGGTCTGCGAACAGAACTAGTAACGCAAAATATTCAAATCGGCAACAGCGCATCAATGAACTTAATTTAGTTCTTGGGGAAGTGTTTATCAGTAGTTTGGTGAAATCACTTTTTGTCATCATCTTTCGTGAAGGTCGACCCAAATCCGGTATTATTGATGCTGTGAGCAAACTGATATTGCAAAATCGTCATATACCTATCCTTGAAGAGGCGGTTGATGCGTTTAGAACATATATTTTGGAAATACCTCAATCAGGATTAAAGGCATACAACAGTGATGAACTTAATGGAGAAAATTTTGAAATCAATAATGCGCTATTCGTTGATTAATCTTTTCATGCTCTCTAATACCGAAATACAAAAGGCAACCCTCTTATTATTATTATTATTATTGTTCTCAGCTGAATTAAAGTGGACTTGAAGTTGTAAATTTGTGATTTGCAAAGGAAGGTTCGGTATAAATAATGTCCAAACAGTTACTAAGAATATTTGATTTCCTTGTACAGTTACACGGCTTACTCTTAAAAAAAAGTATACTCACCTTGCTTATGACTAAATATTGTGTTTGATTGTTATAAATAAACATCTGTTAGTGATACATTTGTTTTGTATTTCTATAAGCTATAAACTCGGATTGCTGAGAAACCTTATAAGCAAAAACCAAAAACCGCCATCCTTTGTACTCTCCCAGGTTTCACTGAGTTTTAGAAATTCACGCTGAAAACCGACTGTGCATACCGTAGTCGGTAATAGTTTAAATTATCAGTACTGCGTCTTTTTCACGGTACTATAATTACGTTGTTCGCTCTTTTATTGGGTTTTTATACTGCAAAGACATGCCGAATTACATACAATACAATTTTGGAAGCGAATCATGCCGTAGTTTTTTTTTTTTAAACTTTAAATTTTCTAAACATAATTTAGTTTTAATTTGATTTGTTCAGAAATTATTAATAATAAAATAAAATTAAAAAATGAAACAGTGTCCAGACTCTACATTTCGTAAATTTTTTGTTCTTCAAATTATTTAAAATGGCAGTCAAAATGGCGAAATTAGAGTAAGTAGCTGAACCACGATCAAATCACAATCCTAATTTTTATCGGAAATTTATCGATGTCAGTTAAGAAATGAAAACAAAAATTATTATTATAAACGAAAGCTATAAACACCAACTTAGATATAAAGAAAAAAATTATGCATTGTTAAAAGAATAATCAAACAAAAATTTTGTATAAAGTATTGTATAAATTGTAAAGTATTTCCAATTTTTGAAGGAGAATAGAAAAATCTGTCTAAGATGGACGGACAGCTGCGGTTCAGCACGTTTTGTCTAACTTACACGAGTGCCCATGTTAAAAAGAAATGAATTATTCTAACTTTATTGACTTTATTTTAAAAACTAGATAAAGAAACTGAATTCAATAAATAATAGAAAAACATAAAAATTAACATATTCTAGTATATGTATATACACGGTGTGTCCCAAAAATAACCGAACTTTTTTGGATATAAAATAAAATACTTATTATATTATCTTTCAAAGTTATTATTTATTCAAAATAGGTTCCATTTGACTCAACGTAACGTTTTAAACCAGCGCATGCATAGATTTTTTTTTGTCATTTATAGAAATGTTCTTCAGTACCTCGGTTACGGCTGCTTGAATGGCTGGGATATCATCATAAAATGCTCCCTTCATCTTGGTTTTCAGTTTTGGAAATAAAAAATAGTCACATGGTAATAAATCAGGCGAATACGGAGGATGGTCGAAGAGAGAAATCACTTTTTTCATTAAAAATTCGAGCGATTTTTTGGTCATCATTTAATTCATGTGGAACAAATCGCGCACATACCTTTCTTTTCCTCAAATCTTCAGTTAAAGTACTCCAAATAGGTTTTTTTACTCGTATTCAATTCCTCAGCCAACATTCTCGTAGTAAAATTTGCATCGATACCAATGATTTTACGGACTTTTTCCACCAGTTCAGCACGATTACTAGTTTCTGGACGTCCTTTTCTAGGGTCGTCATTTAAATCCTCACGACCATTTTTAAATCATGTAAACCACGTATAAACTTGCGTACGACTCTTACAATCATCACAATAAACTTTTTTCATTATTTTTTTTTTCAAGTTTTACACAAAATTTCATATTTGCTCTTTGTTCCATTTTATTTTTGAACCATTAGCACACTTTTGGTTTTATTGAAATGGCTGTCACTTTTACATCTGTCATCCGACTTACATGATGTTAGGTGCGTTTGAAAGAGGATGAATGTATCTTTTTAATCATTTCAAACTTGTTCAGGATATTTGTGGTTTATCAAAGTACCATATTGTAGGATTTCTTGCGGTGGGCATTCCAATAAATCGTGGCAAGGAAATACAGCGAGTTGAAAGTATTTTCTTATCGCAATGAAAACAACCAACGAATAGCATCAAAAACAGAATTTTTTCTGACAATTCTCTTTGCCTTGTTGCATTTATCAAGGCGTGTTAACAGAGAAAGCCTCATTTTTGATATATATTTTGTTTTCTATATTTTCAATAGTTCCTTTCACGAGAAATTGTATTTCTGCCGTAGATTTGGTGGTAGAAATTTTACAATCACATTCGAATTTCATGAATTAAATTGTGGCTTGTAGTGTTGTCAACCAAAACAATTTTTCTATTTTCCTTTTTCATTTGGTCATGGATAAAACTAAGCCAATGCTGAAAAATTACAATTGTCATCCAAGTCTTTTTATTGTGAGAACATCGGCAATAAAATTTTTAGTTTAGAAAGGCTCGCATCGCGGGAGAACTGCAGCAAAACAATACGCTTAGTCTTTCTTTTGTCAGTTTACCTCCTTTACAAACTGCGACTTTTGCAACGAGACATCGGGTAGGTAATTGACGATAATATAGTACAGTTTCATGCGAAGTAAACTGATTCTCAGGTAAATAATTTTTTAAAAGGTTTGGTAGTTTTTACTTCAATCTAAGGCAGCTTTCGTTCCTTCACCACCTATAGCTTCAATTTGAATATTATTTTTCAGGCGGAAGGATTCTAACCACCTATTGCTTACCTTAAAGTTCTTTATTTGTAACTCAGAAGCCAATAGCTTAGTATTTTCTTTAATTATTGGGCCACTGATAGAAATATTCTCAATCCTGCATTTTTCAAAAAACGATTTCCCTCTCTCATTAATTTTTTCCAAATCAGTTATTCGTATTTTTCTTTTGCGTTCCGGATCGATGTTGTTTATAATTCTCTTGTAATGTGTTCCTTTTTATTTTTAATATTAGCGATTTTTGATTTGGAAACTCCATATTTTTCTGCCACTTTTCTTATAGATAGACTTTTATTAGATGCATCATTTAATATCTCAAATTTAATTTTCAGAGATAACTCCAATGCATGTTTTCTTTTTGACATGATGTTAACAAATCTTTTTTGATCACACACAAATGTTGTTGCGTAATTGTGGCATAGCTAATCCTTGAAATTTGATGCATACACGGTGTGTCCCAAAAGTAGCCGAATTTTTTGGATATAAAATTAAATACACATTATATTATCTTTGAAAGTTATTATTTATTCAAAATAGGTTCCATTTGACTTGGGAACGATCAACCAGCGCATGCATAGATTTTTTTATGTCATTTATAGAAATTTTCTTCAGTACCTCGGTTACGGCTGCTTGAATGGCTGGGATATCGCCATAAAATGTTCCTTTCATCTTGGTTTTCAGTTTTGGAAATAAAAAATAGTCACTAGGTGATAGATCAGGCGAATACGGAAGATGGTCGAGGAGAGAAATCCCTTTTTTCATTAAAAATTCGTTCACTTTTTTAGTCTTGTGAGGTGGTGCATTATAGTGTACATAATTTCGCAAAAATAACGGTATTGCAACGTTTGAAAAATTCTATTGACGCCGAAATACAAATACATTTGTGTGTATTATGTATGTATAAGTAAATAGCATATGAATATTTATAAATATTAAGATAAAAAGGGCTTTTATTGTTCGCTGTTCAAAAATTGAGACAAATTTTGTCCAACTTCCAAGATAGACAGTGCCAAATTAATCGAATATATGGATATTTTGTACTATATTATTTTGGTACAGAATATTTTCTCCAATTTCAGGGAGTGTCCAAGTTGTAAGGGCTTGGAAACATATAAGTTCTTATTAAATATATTTATTCTTATAAGTCTTCATATGTATGAATGTATGTATGGATGTATGTATGATAATATTTGAGAGAGCGAATAATGTAATTCATAATTTTAATTAATAATTTACGCTTTGTAACCGCTGAAGCGATTTTTCGGCCGAGTTCCTTCTTCAATTTGTGGTTTTTCGTCTTGATGTTTTTCCAACAAATGGAGCGTCCTACATTTTATACTAAGCTGCCTTCGAACGGCTGATGGTTTTTTTACGAGGAGCCTTTTTCATGTCCGAAATGCATTCTTAGAGGTGGCCATTCTCTACCGAGGGTCGACCGAAATGAGAAAATTAACTTAATTTTTTTTATTTAAATTAATTTTCCATAACTTTTGGATGTTGGTGGCGCCCTGATATGAAACCGAGCCTTCCGAATGTCACAGTACGCAATGCTAACTACCCGTTGAAAAAGTATTATAAGATAATAAAGCAAGATTTTAAAAAGATATTAATGTATGTATATATGTGTTTTCTACTTTTAAATAAAGGTAGCAGTTCCGCTTGGTGGAATGAGGTCACTTGCACTGGACTTTTCTCGCTCGGCTTGGGTCTATTTTTGCTCGTATTAAATTGTCTAATAAGCCGCAAAGAAGAAGAAGATCTCGAAGATTATGTACAGAGACAATTAACTAGATCGAGATCTGGTCATCGTCTGGAGCGAGATGTGGAAACGGGTGTCCTCACTACACGTCATGCACGCAAAGCTGTTGCTTTACAAAAGAACATGCGCAATGGAACTGCCACTGATGTAGCACTAGTTAACAGCGCGTCGGCGGAGGAAGTTGCAAATGGTCCGTTGACAGGGCATAATTGTTAGTTGGAATTTAACAGTGCGTCATCAATAATGAGTTATTTTATTTTCTCTTCCTCTTTTCCCTTAACAGGTATAACCAACACTGGTGATATTGTACTTGAGAAAATAGTAGAGGAGGATAATACATATATTAACGATCGTAGCGCTGGGATATCACCTATAGAGATAGAAAATGATACAAAACAATTGCTTAGGCGGGAATCATTAAATGAAACAATCAATATAACACGAATATAAAAATTAATTACGATGTACACTATAATATTTAATCAAATTAATATTTTACTATTTATTATAAAGACTTTTATTTAAACTTAAGCCTTTAAACTATAAGTGAAATATTTAAATTCCGAAAACATTAAAAAATTTAAAAGTAAAAAATCCCATGTGACCATATTTTTTAACAAATGTCTTTTTAAGCATTTTCGTATTTACGTACATATATTTAAATAAATATATATAGATATACACATAAGTGTGTATATGTAAGTAAATCGTTTAATCGTGCATATATTATTGCCCAAAAAATATTAAAAATTAAATTATATATGTAAATGCAAAAAAAACAAAAAAAAAAAAAACTAACAAATACAATGCGGATAAAAATAAAAACTAAATTTAATACGAAACATTCGAAGACTCTTAAAAAAGAGTAGGAGTACACTGCACTTTAAATTAAAATACTAAAATGCTACACTTTACATAACAATATAAGTACACATAAATACATACTCGTAGTTATCGAGCTCGCACAACAGTTGAAATTTCAAATAGATACATATGTACTTGTGCAATACAGTTATGCTAGAGACACTTGGCTGTTTATCGTCTACCAGATGCCGTTTTTCAATATTCCTTAAAAAGGATAAAAAGGATAAAAAGGAAATTACAATAATTTACATACAAACATCACGTTCAAAGCCGAGCTTAAGATCGCCCCAACACATTCGTCGTCTACGAACACATTCGAGATTTCGAACAACGTACTCGAACTCGTACTTTTCTCTGCTCATTACTAGCGTGACATTTCCACGGCACACGTATTACGTTCTTCGCTCACTTAAGTGAAATTCGTACTCCATATATGTATGTATGTACATAAATGCCAAAACTTAGTTCGCCAACAAAAAATTTTGGTTTCAAAGCAAAAAAAAATTAAATCCCATTAAAAGAAACAGTATAACACCAAACAATATATCAAATATGTAAATAAAATTATCAGAAGTTATCATATACGAGTAAGAATGACCAGGTGCATATTAAACTTTTTGAAATTATAAGCAGAGAATTATAGTAAAATTTTGATAGAATGTGTTGATTAAAAATTTTTTTTCTTGAATTCCACATGCTTATATGACGAATTTAATTCAATATCAAATAAACTTTCACTTTCCCTCACAAAAGAAAAAAAAAATCGCCCAGCAAAACATTGCGTGTCGTTTGAACGAGATAATTCGCGCTGGTAATTGAGAGGACGAACAATGTAATTCACGATGTCGAAAAGCCGTTTAAGCTCGAAAATTTCATGCTTTTGCGAGTATTTGATACAAAGTTATCGCATTTCCTTTTCTACTAACAACACTTGTTCCATTGAAAGGTTGACCCGGAACTAATATACCCAAAAAACCGTTCTTCTCTATTCAGAAAAATCGCAAGAAATTACCGAGAGGTGGACCTAAAACCGGTCTATTCCTTTTTTTCGATTTGCTAGAACTTATTTATAAAAATACTAGAACACCTCGTGCAAACGACAGGCGTAACCTTTTTTTAAACTATACTAATGCGATCCTAAAATCTTGACGAACTTAACGAATACTACTCGGCCATAAAAGTTCTTTTGAACAAGATAAATGTACTCTTGAACATAGTAAAATCTTTAACTTTAATAAATTAAATATTGTTTACCATATTGCTCACCATTAATTTCGATTGCATTCAAATAAACTATATTCCAATATAAGTCATATCTATAATTAATTGTAGTTAAAGAATCCATGGAATTAGTGCGATAAAAAATTTGGGTCCGCTTAAATATGAATTGAAATTTCTTGTTCCTCCTTTCGAATTATTGAAATTTTTTAAAAGGCTATTGAGGAAGCTACTTGTATTACATTGCTGTTGTTTTGTTTTACCAAAAAAACGTTATATTCTAACGAATTTTCTGGATTGTTAAATAAAAGTTCTAAGATTTGTTTTTTCAGCTTCTTTATTGTAAACACACAGCTAACTAAATCCCTTATAACACACAGTAACCAACTATAATATATAATATATAATATATATATATATAACTCTCTATAAATACACAGTTTATTTTTCTGTAAACAAATATGTAGTTCACTCCATTATACTTCACACCGATGTTGTCATTACCGAGCTCCAAACTCAACTAAACTTGTTGGTGAATTCTCAGCCACTCTTACATTCCCAATGCTTTCTCGTGCGCATCTCTAGAAGGTTCTTATTTGATCGCTCTAAATTCCGCCGACCCATTGTTCTACTGCTTTCAAAACAACTGTGTTTCATAATTAAGTTTAATTCTTGACCGGCATCTTCTGGCGTTAAATAGCCAAAGTGTTTCCCGTTTAACTCATACGAACCATAAACAAAGAGTATTTTTCAATACGTAAAATGTGAAAAGAAATGCATTACATTTTAAATTCAATTTATTACATAAAAATATATATAAACTAAAAATAATATTTGCACAATTTAAACTTATGTGAAAAGACTTTAAGTAAATGTTATATGTATGTATAAAATAAATAAATAACAATCTAATCGTAACATAGTTGTAACTAAACTATTATACTTAATGCATAAACTATACTATGTACTTGTATATAACAAATATATATATAAATATATTTTGTATCGCTATAGTTAATACATATTCAAATATGAATATAAGTACATCTAAATTTAGACCTATTAAATTTACATAAACTCGTTTCGCAGTATTTATTAGTAGCAGTCTCAGTGCTTTAGCCTCAATCGCCAAAAGGCAATGTCTTTTTTTAATAAATAATAATTATACATTTGTATCTTGAGATCTTCAAATTATGCAGTGTTTTGAGTTTTTGGAAAGTTCTTGAAAAAAAAATTTCCCATTTGCCAGAATAAATATAATAATTCTGTAGGTCCTTAAAGTTAGTTGACACACACGTTATTTTTGAAGTAACATTTATATATTATATACGAACGGCTTTGGATTCCAAATACTAAACCATTCATCTTGATGTTGTTGTAGCGATTCTCTCAAACTAGCTTGGCTATCAAAATTAGTCTATGACATCAAAATCATTTAGCTGGATATCGAAATGTTTCGGCACTTGCGGACCAGAGCAAGAGATTTTAATGGATTTTCGTGGGCACGTAAAGAGGGGTGGTCCGAGTACGTAATTCATGGGGAAAGAACTTATAAAGGTTTTGCCTGTGATGCGGAGCTTATCCTTCAAAGTCTAGAACCCTCTTCCTTATGTATCAATGAGATGGCTCGGTTTCATTTGACATCGTAAGAGGTGTTGCTTCCACGGCATAACATCATGCCCAGGACTACCTATTTGAAGATTTTGTTGCGACTCTTCATTTTGTCGTCGGGATATGATATCAGAGAAATTCCACTCCGGTGGAGAAATTCCACTCCGGTGCCTGACTTTAGCGTAATTTTAACTGCTGGCAGCCACTCAGGTAATTCATGGTCCATGTCTTCAACCCTGGCGTAGTTGGCCACGTCAATGGTTTTAATTTAGTGCTACTAGCGCCGTTTCTACGTAAGATCGCCTGACTGGATAGCTATGCTTTGACATCCCCCTACGATCGATATTGTCACCGATCATCATAATCCTCTCTTTCCTGATCTTAATGTATGAAGTTGAAACCGGCATAGCTCAAAAAAAAAATTTACTGCGGCTGCTTAGCAAGGTTTGTTAGGTCGCACCTATCAGGTGCTCGCGGTCCATAAAAGCGGCTTTCTCGTAGAAATCACTGCGAAACTTCATCTCCAATATTCTTTCTTGAACAGACTGTAGTTCATTAATTAGATAATTTAGATTTAGAAAATAGTGAGCTAAATCTTTGGTCATGTACTTAAACTTATTATTGTAAAGAAGTTTTGAATTTCTTTAACTTTACAACGAGTACTCATTGTACGCACTGTTGTTGTTGTAGCTGCAAAAATATTCCTCAAAGTAGTTTTGAGGAATCTTGCGACAGAGACACACCTTGGCCGGATAAAAATCTTGATCTTTCTGGTGTAAAGACCTGACTGTCACGGGAATTTTTAGATTTTAGTCGTCTCTTACAACAGGCTTGCCTTATCTCGGGAAAATTTTTGAACTCCTACCTCGCAGGGGACGCACGAGTTTCCTACACCTACATTGATCCTGAGTAATTTTGTTCCATTTATACTAAATAATGGCGCTCAATTAAGTTATATTTATTGGTAAACATCCGAGCCTTGAACGACAGTTTATTTTCCGTTTCGATGATTTTTTAGAATCTATTAGAAAATAAAGTCGTTTTTTTGCGATTTTTACAAATGGTCGTAATGCATACACCGTCCAGCACCCATCTAACATTAACAGAGAGCCATCATCTTTAAGAGCTTTTCATACGACCACGCACGGCTTGCAGTTAAAATGCTTAGAGCTTCACAAATAGCAGTATATACATATATACACGTACCTACTGCTATTTATTTGCTTTGCCGATATCAGGACTCATATATGTACGTATGTATGTATAAAGGATTTTTCTGTGGTACAAATGCAAGATATCTTGTATTATTATTTTTTTCCCTAAAACCCAATTTACTGGATCAAATTTAGGTGTACTACAATAAGGCCACCCTTACCCATTTCAATCCCTTATAAGACGATTTTTTCTTTTCCGATCAAAAATAATTACAAATATGAAGCTTTTACAACAACTTTCAGTTTACAGCTACTATTCAGTAGTATCGGGTATGTACAAAAGGCCCACTTGTAAAGCGAAATGATTCGAAAATACATAATAATAATTTTCATATTTCAGTTTACAAAAAAAGGAAGTATGTGCGGGGGTATACCAGCATTTAATTTATTCATACTTATTCGTCCTTTGGAAGAAGTGGATCGCAAAGGTACTAGAGATGAAACAAAACGATGCTTTCACTTCATTACTTCTGCCACACAAAAAATATGCACCCAATCACACCGTTATCGTAAAACTTCTAGAAATCCCGATCCATACATCATTAAACTATTTAA